GGACATTAAAAATTATAATATTTATAAGACATTTGGATATGGAATCTGTACTACTGTACCAAGTATAGATCAAGCTCTGACATTAACAATGACATTTTCAAATTGCACTGGAAGCAGAAAGAAAGCGAAGAATCTTCTGTAACATTTGACAACGAAGAATCTTCTGTAACAGTTGACAACAATGGGCAAAAAAAACACACTGAATCAAAATAATTTCTCTAGATCTAGCTGCCAAGCAAGACATTTATAATTAACTCCCAGCAAGTAGAGAACATCTGCCTAAGAATTGTGCAGAAATACAAGGATAAAAATCTGTAAGTGGCAGCCAGGATGTGCAAGCCTGCCCACCAAATGCATGCTTTGCCAGCAGAAACACAGGTGTCTATGCTGGCTCCCTAGGCCTTACCCCTCAGCCTTCTCTCTGGAGCAAGGGTTGTTCCCAGGTCCTTGTCTGTGGTCTTTCCGGTCCAATTCTGACCATCTGTTTTGTGTCTCTTCCTCAGTCCTGAAGCTGCTCTGTGGGGAGATGGTCCATTCTCCTCCCACTGTCCCAGAAAGCCAGCAAGAGTCCTGGGAGCAAGGTGTGGGGAAATGCAAGGGTGTTTGTGATGGATTCAGAATCTCACACTTTGAGAGAAGCAACAAATTATGTTGTTGTTTTGAATGCACAATGTACGCGCAGTTGTAAGAAACGATACAAGAATTCTCATATGAGTTTTACCGCATTTCTGAGCCCCAGTGGCTCAGAACATCTTGCAAAGCATAGATGGATAGTAACATGGGGAACATACAGAACATGTGGTAAGTGCAAAGACCTAGTACCAAGCTGACTCTAGCCTGCCCTCCCCTCCCAGCCCTTTCTACTATTGTTCTCAGTACTAATGTCAAGATAAAGTTCTTATTTTTTATTGTTATTATAAAGGTGATGTACAGAGGGGTTACAGGTGTGTAAGTCAGGTAAACAATACATTTCTTTTTGGACAATGTCACTCCTCTCACTGTCTCCCAGTGTTTCCCTCCTGTCCCCATCCACAAGTTATTTATTTATTTTGCCACTCCTGGGGCTTGAACTCTGGGACTGAGCACTATCACCAAGCTTCTTTTTGCTCAAGACCAACACTCTACCACTTGAGCCACAGTGCCACTTCCAGCTTTTTTTTTTTTCCTGTTTATGTGGTGCTGAGGAATTGAACCCAAGGCTCCATGTAAGCACTCTACCACTAAGCCACATTCCCAGCCCTCCACCCATAAGTTGTATAGTTCATTTTCAACATAGTGTCTAGTGAGTACCATTGATGCATTTTTTAGTTGTTTTTTAATGTGTAAAATATGTTTAACTAGGACTGCTTCAGTCACTGTCCTATTTTATTTTATTATTTCTGTTGTGCCAGTACTGGGGCTTTAATTCAGGATCAACTTTTTCACTCAAGGGTAGTAGTACTCTACCATTGAGCCACAGCTCCATTTCCAGGTGTGTGTGTGTGTGTGTGTGTGTGTGTGTGTGTGTCTGTGTGTGTGTGTGTGTGTGTGTGTGTGTGTGATTAATTGGAGGTAGCCTCACTGAGTTTTCTTCCTGGGCTGGCTTCAAGCCATCATCCTCAGATCTCAGCCTCCTGAGTAACTAGGATTACAGGCATGAGCAATTGGCACCACCTGCCACTGTCTTCAATTTAAATGTTCATAATCATTTTTCTTCTGGTACTGGGAATACATAATCCTTTTATATTTCAAACATTTCAGAAAAATTCTGGTACTGGGAATACATAATCTTTTATATTTCAGTTTTTAGGGCAATAGCAGGAAAGCTATAGAAAGTTGATTATCAGTAGGTGAGTGGAGCGAATCCCATGAAAAATGTTCAACTTTAAGGGAACATAGTTATTCACCCACACACCCACTGTACTTTCTTCTCAAATACTGTCTCATGGTTTCAAGTCAACAGTCTTTGAAATGCTGAAGACCAACAACCCATTCCAGATTATTAGAAATTTCTATGCTCTTCTTAGTAAACACTTAGAAACTCAACTCCCTCCTTCCCACCCCCCATTCCCCAGTCCTGGAGTTTGAACACAAGGCCTGGGCTCTGTACCTGAGCTTATCTGTGTTCAGGCTAGTGCTTTACCACTTGTCACAGCACTACTTCTGGCTTTTTCTGAGTAGTTTATTGGAGATGAGAGTCTCTCAGACTTTCTGGTGATCATGAAGCATGATCCTCAGCATCCCTAGTAGCTAGGATTACAGGCGTGAGCCACTGGTGCCCAGCAAAACTCAACTTTTTGTTGTAACTGGTATATAAATATTTGCTAATGATTTCCTCAACAAATTTAATGGCTAGATCAAAAGACATTTCTTGCTGGGCACCAGTGGCTCATGTCTGTAATCCTAGCTACTCAGGAGGCTGAGATCTGAGGACTGAGGTTCAAAGCCAGCCCGGGCAGGCAAGCCTGTGGGAATCTTATCTCCAATAAACCACTAGAAAACTGAAAGTGGTGCTGTTGCTCAAGTGGTAGAGCACTAGCCTTGAGCTAGCCAGGCCCAGAGTTCAAGCCCCATGACTGACAAAAAGAAAAAAGACATTTCTTGAATTGTCTTTCAAGTTTTCTTTTTTGTTTTTTGGTCCATTGTGAGGCCTGAACTCTGGGCCTCAGCTCTTCAGCTCAAGGTGAGTGCTCTCCCACTTGAGCCACAGCACCACTTCTGTCTTTTTCTGCTTATGTGGTACTGAGGAATCGAACCCAGGGCCTCATGCATGCAAGGCAAGCACTCTACCACTGAGCCACCTTCTCAGCCCCTTTCAAGTTTTCTTATTGGACTAACTGAAGCTTGTAACATTACATCCATTAAATCTTTGGAAGAGAAAGATTATATTTTTGTTTTCCACATTACTATGATGAAGATTTTATTTTTTTCTTTTTCTTCTTTTAACTTCCGAATATCAGTTAATTGTGGGCTGACTTTTAACATGGTCAAGGTAAATAATATTCCTGTTCTGCTTCTCTATTTCTGTAAATCCATTTCAGACATTAAAACCAATAAACTTTAAGGTTGTTCCCTGAAAAAAAAAAAGTAGTGAGCTAGAATTCCTCCTTTACTGTGATGCCTATGTGCTTATTATGGCATTTAGGTCACATAGTCAAATGAATTGTTTGTTTTTGTGTCACTGTGGTTTGAACTCAGGGCCTCCAGCTCACTAGGTTGGCACTGTACCACTTGATCCATTGGGCTATACTTCCCAGTCAGCTTCTGGCTGGTTATTTTGTACATGGAGTCTTACAGATTTCTTTTTCTCTTGCTAGCCTTGAACTTTGACCCTCCAGATCTTAGCCTACTGAATCATGAACTATAGACCAGTGCCTTGCTAACAAAGAACTTAGAAAAATATTATTTTCTTACATTCCAAAATGATTATTGCAGAAAATAATCAAGTAATAAAAACAGATCTGTTCTTCTATCACCTAGAAATAACATTGTTAACATTTTAGAATATGTTCTAGCTCTTCTTTATTTGCTTTCAGAGTTGTTGGGTTTTTTTTTTGAAACAGTGGGATCGTACCATATGTTCTATTTTCTAATAGAATTCCTAAAACTAAACAATGACTTTGAATATCTTCCCTTGTCACAGCAATTCCCTGGCAATATTTGAGATCTGCTGTTTATTGAATGACATATCATCATGTACATAGCCAAGCCTCCTTTTTTTTTTTTTTTGGTCTGGTCGTGGGGCCTGAACTCTGGGCCTGGGCACTGTCCCTCAGCTCTTCAGCTCAAGGCTAGTGCTCTACCACTTGACCCACAGTGCCACTTCCAGCTTTTTTTTTATTTTCTGCTTATGTGGTGCTGAGGAATCGAACCCAGGGCTTCATGCATGCAAGGCAAGCACTCTACCACTGAGCCACCTTCCTAGCCCGCCAAGCCTCCTTTTTAAAAAAAATGATATTAAGTCATTTGTAATTTTCACTACTCTAAGCAGGTACTTACAAACATGTTGGCCTAAGTCTCTACCCAGATCTTAAGTGTTAACTTTGAATAAAATCCTAGTGGTGGGATCACTGCAGGCCCTAGTCTTGTTCCATCATTTAAGCAGTCAGACTGTAACTTTGTGGTACTAAAGGTTTACTTCTTTCTCTTTCACCTCCCTTAACAGAATTATCCGAGTTCAGGCAGACCAGGCTTGAATCCTAGCTTTGCCACTTACTGATTGCAGGACTACTGGCTTTAATAAGGCCTTTTGAGAACTTTTCTATAAAATAGGGAAATAACCTGGCCCCCTTTTCTAGCTCCATGGCCAATGGCATTGATGGCCAGAACTTCTGTGGGCAGGGACCTCATTCCACCTCAGAGCACCTCCTCCTTCACTTGGGTGTGTAGGGAAGAGAGGGCTCTATCTCTCCCCACCAGCCTTGCTGCTAGTCCCTCACCAAGATGGCTACATTCATTTTCAGTAGTGCTCTTGGGGACTAGAGGTGATAGTGAAAAGGAGATTGTGGCACAGTGTTGATAGCAACTGGATTGCCTTTTAGAGTTTTGTTAGCTCAGGAACCCTGAACATTGTCCCTGATCCTGGCTTTGGATGGCACCTGGCCCTAAGGACCCTTGAACCCCAGTGTAATCAGTAGGCAACAGAGACCAGGGAATCTGCTGAGCAGAAGGTGCCGGCTTCTTGCTGATGCTGAATCATTCCAGCATTTTGTCCCAGTCCAGCAAGCAGAGCTCTACAGGCCTTATTGGGACCTTTGTGTGGCTTGTCATTCCCCTCACCCTGAATTCTTTGCACTGGGTGATAAGATGCTTTTATAGTTGTTAAAGCTTTACCCAACCCACAAAGGTCCCTTTCAGCGTCATGCAGCTATCTCCCCAGCTGCCAGGTCTATTTTCAGAGTTGGGATGGGAGGGCCTACTGTGGTATAGCTTCCTGAAGAGGGCCGGCAGGCAAGCAATGGTGGCCCTGGTGATTGACAGCGTATCTTGCCTCACTCTGTCCCCATCTGGGTGTCTTCCAGGAGTCATGGCCGGCTTCAACATGGGAGGTGACCTCAGGGAGCCTGCTGCCAGCATCCCCCTGGGCTCCCTAGCAGCTGTTGGCATCTCGTGAGTTCCCCGCCAAGGCAATCAACGGGCGCTGGAGAGTGGAGAGAAAAAACCCCAGGCAAAAGCGAGGATTGCCCCTATTGTTCCAAGAGAGCCCGACTGTGACCAATCTATTTCACATTCTGATCCTCCTTTTAATACTCGGTGGGCTGGAAAATTCACGTCTGGTGGGTTCAGACATTGCCCTTTCACACTCCTTGCCTGGGAATGCTACTAGGAAGAAGGGGAGGAGGGCCATGAGTGCACATCGCAGGCCCAGGCCTTTCTTTCCTTTTTCCCCTCAGCCTCCCACCCAGTCCCTGTGCTTTCTTCATCCTTCTTTTGAACTTGGGGATTTTTGTTTTATTAACCAGTGAGTTTCCAGGATCACTGGCAGCATGGAGGTGAAGAGTTTTGCAGTCAGACAGATCAAGGTTCGAATCCAGGGGGTCCATTTGGCCCATCCTGTCACTGCCCAGATGGGAATGGGGAACCCTCAGAACCATGTGACTTACTCATGGTTACCGGGCAGCTTGGGGACACAGCCAGGCCACTGCTCTGCCTTTTCCCACTTGGCTTCCCTCTGTGAGCTGTGATTCAGAGTCCAGTAGGTCTCTGAAGCCCCGGAAGATGAAGTAGTCCTGCTGGTGTGAGGCTGTAGGCCACCGTGGCCTGAGTCTTGGCAACTTAGAGGCCAAATGGGCCTCCCACTTCCCCTTTGTGTATTTTTCTTCCTTAACCTAAGAAACAAAAAACATAGATAAATAATACAAAAAGTACCCTCCTAGGCTGCTGGAAAGGGTTTGTGGTTGGCCTTCCGATTTCATTTTGAGACAGGGTCCCATAGGAAACCCAAGGCTGAGTAGGACAGGGCTGGGGTAGCAGCTCTGATCTCTGTTGAGCCCTGCAGGTGGTTTCTCTACATCATCTTCACCTTCTTGCTTGGTGCCACCTGCACCCGTGAGGCCCTTCGCTCTGACTTCCTCATAGCCCAAAAGGTGGGTATCCCTGTCCTGTGCTACCCCAAAGGCTCCATCTGCCAAGGTCATTTATTCCTTCCCACTAACAAATGGCCGCCTCTCCCCTTGCGGTCTTGTCTAGAGTCCGTGTCGTCCCGAGTCCAGGACTGAAGTTTGGGGGTAAGGGAGCGGGGCTGGCAGAAATATAGAAAACGTACAGCTTCAGCTTATGGATCACTAGAAACAGGGCATATATCCAGAAAGGCACACAAATGCAAGTGCTAGGTGACAGCGACACCCCTTCCCATGGGAAATCAGGGCAGAGGCAGAAGAATCTGGTCACCTTGAGTTCCTACTTCCACAGCTCTTCGTGGCTGCTTCCTCTACCATGAACAGAAAGTGCAGTGTCCGCTGCTCACAAGAAGCAAGTGAGGAATGGGGAAGAGGTTGATGGGGCAGAGAAGGGGCGGGACAGTGGGAGAAGGAGAGGCAGAGCCAGCTTTCCCATGAATCCCAGTGACTCTGTATTTATACTACTCAGGGCAATGCATGATGCCAGGAGATTGGAGTATTCCTTATGTTTCTGAGCTGCCTTTGCAGAATGGAGGTCATGTGGCATCAAGGACATTTATTTGGCATCACTTGAACCCAAAAGAACAAAATTTCTGGACTTTTTTCTGAAAATGCCCCCCTCCCTCCACCCCAAATCCCTAACTTCTTTCAAGTTCCCAGAGGAAAAGCGGGCCCTGAGAGGCCCATCCTTTTCTTAGAACTTTGGTGGGTTAGGGCATTTTTCTTGCTATAACTCCTGAGGACTGCTGTTGATCTGTTTGGAAAAGAGTATCATTTATTTGCTCTTGTGCTGATGCCTGCAAATCTGCCTTGCTGCTTGTCACCAAGATTAGAGCAGGCTGGTGCAGGAGACTTTTTACACACAAGTTGGGGCTTGGCATCCACACAAGCACAGGTTTCTTTTTAGGGTGTGTAGACACCAGGTAAAGGTGACATTTGTTCTCAGGAGGGAGAAAGCTGAAACCCGTGCCCCAGCTCCCTTAGGCAGTGAGGTCCAGCTGCTTTCAGGAAAAGAATCTGTACCTGTTGTGTCCATCTACACACATGCACGCACCGTGAGGTTCTTTCCCAAGGTCCTTTTCTCTGAGGGCTGCCTGAGAGGAATGGAAGGCCGCAGGGGGCAGCGGGAGTGAGAAGGATAAAGAAGGATCTTGAAGAATCACGTCACAAGGAGGACTGCTTACTATTCATCTGTGCCTTGTGCTGGCTAGTTCCTCCCACTTTATAGCTGCACCTGTCTAGTGGCTCCTTTCAACTGTTAGAGACTCTGATATAGATAAACAAAAAAGAAAAAGAAAAAAGACAGCTTATCCCTCATGAGGAGGCTCCTCTTCCCTCTCCCTTCTTCTTTGCAAGGAAAACTCAGTGTGGGAGGGCAGGCAGCTTTGTATCAAGGAAGGCCATGATAGCCAAGGGTAAAAACATCTCCAGAAGTAGGACATTAGAGCTTTTGTGGGGAGAAATCCCACACTGAGTAATATAAATACAGACAGAGGGAGCCTTCTTCAGAATGCCACCTGTCCCAGACAGACCTGGCCACTGGGGAGCATTCTCTAAACTAGCATTCTCTAGCCATAACCTGTGGGAACTGACATAATTATGCACACACTCAAGTGAAGGGTAGATAGAGAGGTTGTGGAAAGGATGAGTGACTATTTTCTGGAATAAATGACTATAAGGCCTAGAAAGAAAAAATGTGCCAGTTCTGGGTTCTCAGTAGTAAGCTTACTGATAAGTACATGGATAGAGCTGGATCAAAAAATCATCACACCCTGCTGTTCTGCTGCCCCACTGGCTATTCTGCCAAGGGCCACCAGGATCTTTCCCTCTGACCAAATCTCCATTCCTCCTCCTGAATGTTCCTCTTGGGGTCTGACTCAACTGCAGATGCAGGCAGTCAATTGGGCTAGGCATGCCTGACTTGACTTATAGAACTACAGCCTCTAGAGCTGGAAGAGGCAAAGGAAGCTACCACCTAAATGTGGTTTAACAGTTTTTCAGCGCTTAAAATTGAATTCAGGCCTTGTACATACTAGACAAGCATTCTACCACTGAGGTGTATCCCTAACTCAGTGTGTAAGTGTATGTGTGTGTGTGTGTTTGTGCACATAGAGCCCAGAGTCTCATGCATGGTAGGCAAGCACTCTACCACTAAGCCGCACGCATAGCCCCTGTATGATTTTAATAAACCACTTAGTTCAGGTTCACTGCTTAGCCCATCTCTGAGCTTTCTTGGGCCCAGAAGAAGCAAGGCTACATCTGTTTGGGTGCCATGACCTTTACCATGACCTTCACAGAAGCCAGGCAGCCTCCATCCTGCTCTTCATATGCTGATTCGCATAAGCTCCTCAACACTGTTTTTCTTCTCTCCCTTCTCCTGTCTCCACTCTCTGTCTCCTTTTCATTGCTAGCCGCCTTGGATTCCATTCCATAGATCCGCACCTGGTCAGTTAATCTGTTTCTTGTTATATTTCCTGAACCTTCACTCGCCTATTTTTGTTTGGTTCCCAACCCATAGTTTCTCCCAGAAGTTTCTTCTTATTTTTTATCCTTACCTCAGTAGAGCTTTTTCTGTGTTTCAATCTTACTAATGTTATCTTTACCCTGTTGCAGTGACTCTGGGGTAGCCTATCTGACACATAGTAGGTGCTTTTAAAACTTACCACTTCTGTTCACTTCTTATGAAGATACTCTGACAGATAGAGACATTTATTTGAGGGACACATTCCCTTGTGTCAGATCTGCCCTGTTTCATTGACTAGAAAAGTAGAAGATGCTAATATTATTTAGTGATAGAGTAATTACATAAAGAACAGTTTTAGTAAGAATTAAATAGGTCAAATATTGTCTCAAAATAAACTTGTACACAGACTAGGGAATAAATGGATCTTTATTACTAATCCAAAAGACTGAGTATCTCAGGAGCCCCGGGACATGCAAACTAGCAGGATAAAACAAAGGAAAGGAAACAAACATCCCTAAAGTGTCTCTGTTAAAATTGGGAAATCCCCAGGAGTATGTGCTAGTCCTTCCCGGACTTCATCGTGGTGATTTCATGCATCTGAGAGGGACTTTGAAAGCCCACAATGCAGCTGTGCATGGGGAGGGACAGACAGGGCAGAGGTCCGAGAGCTCCCACTCCTCTGCTTGGCTCCTGCCACCAGCCTAGCACAGTGTCAGGGGCACAGGGCTGCCTCTCAGGAGGCAAAGTAGTCTTTGCTTCTTTTTCCATTGAGAAGTAGAAGCTGACAGAACGCTAAGGTGCTGGCTGCTCAGTGGTGTAAGGAGGGTGTTGGGAAAAACAAAAACATGTCTCTGTGGAAATGTGAATGGGGAGGTTGGGAAGTATTGAGGCATTGCCTCATTCATACTCCTGGGCTTGGGAGGGTTGGGGATGTCCTTCCCCAGCAATATCCAGGGACCACAGGAATTAGATGAGAACCAGTCCCTTGCCAGTATTTGCTGAGCAAGCCCTTCAAGAGAAGGAAGCAATCTGGGCACAGGTGGCTCACACCTGTAATCCCAGCAATTTAGGAGGCTGAGATCTGAGGACTGCAGTTCTAAACTAGCCTGGGAAGAAAAGTCCATGAGACTTTTATCTCCAGCTAAGCACCAAAAAACTGGAAGGAGAGCTGTGGCTCAAAGTGGTAGAGTGCTACTCTTGAGCAGAAAAGCTCAAGGACAGCTTCCAGGCCCTGAGTTCAAGCCCCATGACTGACAAGGAGGGAAGGGGGCAGAGAGGGAAGAAAAGAAAAAGGAAGTAGCCCATGGTGATGGAGTTCCTCCGTGTACTCAAATTAGATGCCGAAAAAAAATACCATGAGCAAGATATATACATATATATATATATATATATATATATACATATATACATATGTGTGTATATGTATATATTTGTTTTCATTAATAATTACTTGGGGGGGAAAGCAAGTAGTCTAGTTTGCACCATATAAAATGTTGGGGAGATAGCTATCTACCACAAGTGTACAATACCATCTCATTTTTTTTTTTATTTTTGAGAACTGTTGACACATGTCTGCTCAGATAAATTCTCACTTTTCCCTCCACTAGCCTAGTTAGCAAGTTTTCAGTATGATTCAAATGAGGAAATGACTGGGGTCTTGGGAGGCCTGGGAGCACGTCTGCGTGCTTTATTGCTGTCTCTGTGATGCCTGGCCTTGTGTGCTTGCTTGCTTGCTTGCTTGCTTTCTTTCTTTCTTTCTTTCTTTCTTTCTTTCTTTCTTTCTTTCTTTCTTTCTTTCTTTCTTTCTTTCTTTCTTTCTTTCTTTCTTTCTTTCTTTCCTCCTTCCTTCTTTCCTTCTTTCTTTCTCTTTCTTTCTTTCTTTCTTTTTTGGAGAGATATTTTCTGAACAGTGATCCTGACAGATACAGTCAAATTATTCTAGTGATCATTCATGAGCCAGGAAGAAGATCTAGCTAGGGGCTTGTGTTCCGTGCATGTTTGACATAGATCTGATGCATTGCTGAGGAGACAAATCAAAAGAAAATGAGCGAGGAGAACCTCCATCAGGAAGGGCATGATTGACAAAGCTGAAAGTTTCCTCTAACCTGTCTGTTATAGTTGGGCAAATGAGTGCTTGGAACACACAATTCTGGCCACTGTGCCTACAGTGTGGTACCAATAATGGGGAACACAGACAGGCTTCCCCATGGGGAGGGGTGAGCTCTGGCTCAGCCTGCAGGAGCTGCATAGAGAGCAGCATGGATCCTTGGCAGGTTGACACCCAGGAAGAATGGTTCTGCCCTCTCTTATTCTGTCTGTGGTGCCTGGGAGTCAAATGGGTCACAGATTCTCTTCACTCATTCATCTGTTCATTTGTCATTTATATCTGTAGTGGGTACCAAGAACTCTAAATACTTGCTGAAATTAAACCTGCAAGTTGATAGAGGAACAGTGTGATCAGTATTATCCTAACTTCAGGTGGGGGTGCTGGGGACACCATAGGTTCGAGGGTGATCAAGGGTGGTGTCATGGCAGAGATAAGGTTCATGGTGAGTCTTTTTTTTTTTTTTTGGTCAGTAGTTGGACTTGAACTCTGGGTCTGGGCGCTATCCCTCAGCTCTTCAGCTAAAGGCTAGCACTCTACTACTTGAGCCACAGCAACACTTTCGATTTTCTGAGTGGTTTATTGGAGATAAGAGTCTGACTGACTTTTCCTGCCCAGGCTAACTTTGAACTGTGATCCTCAGATCTCAGCCTCCCGAGTAGCTAGAATTACAGGCACCCGGCATCATGCTGAGTTTTGATTTCCAATTAGGAACTGAATAGACAATGAATAGATTAAAGAGTTTAGACAAAGAGTTCCAGCAGGTCTGTGTATCAGACCTAAGGGAGCTGTAAGTGTGCTTGTAGCCTGGACACTGGGATCAGAGTTTAGAGCCATCATTCTGGCAGGGGCCTAGGATGTGATGGAGGAAGGTGCATGGATTCAGGATGCCACTTGGCATTGAGGTTGGCTGATGGTTCCCGGTGGGTTCCTAGCCCCTTGGCCTCACCTAGGAGCTTGCTGAAGATCCACTTTCTCAGCCCTTCCACAAATCTGCTGAATCCAAAATGCTAAGGGTAGGACCCAGAAAGCTGTCTTGAGAAGCCCCGTAAATAAGTCTGGTGTCAGTTCAATTTAAGAACTGCTATGGGGCTGGGAAGGTGGCTCAGTGGTAGACTGCGTGCCTGCAAGCATGAGGCCCTGGGTTTGATTCCTCAGCACCACATAAGCAGAAAAAGCTGGAAGTGGTACCGTGGCTCAAGTGGTAGAGTGCTAGCCTTGTGCTGAAGAGCTGAGGGACAGTGCCTAGGCCCAGAGTTCAAACCCATGACAGACAAAAAACCAAAACAAAACAAAACTGCTATGTAGACCAAAGAAGACGTGGTAGTGGACTAACCTAAATAGTGGAATGACATGGAGGAGGGAATAGTAAATCTTGTCCAGAGTGTATTCTAAAGGAGGTCATATATAAATATGTGGGGTATGGGTGAGTGGGTACTAGGAGAGTAGAAAGGGTTAGAAACATGGTCTTACTAGGAAAAGGGGTGCAGACCCGTAATCTCAGCACACAAAGGACCGAAGTGGGATGATCTCAAATTTTAGGCTAGCTAGGGTTATATTCAGACCCTGTCTAAACCAACAAACAAAAATAAAGAAAACAAGGTTGGCCTTGCATGGTAGCTCACACCTGTAACCCTAGCTACTCAGGAAGTTGAGATCTGAAGAGCGTGGATCAAGGCCAGCCCAGGCAGAAAAAGTCCCTGTGAGACTCTTTATCTCCAATTAGCTACTCAAAGGCTGGAAGTGGCACTGTGGTAGAGTACTAGCCTTGAGCAAAAGGGCTCAGTGACAGCACCCAGGCTCTGAGTTCAAGCCCCATGACAGATAAAACAAAAAACAAGGTTGATTATTGAGTAATTGTGTTATCAGCCTTCAATCACTACAATAAACTTCCCAAGGCAATTAATTTATAGAGTAAGGTTTTCTTTTGGCTTAAAGCTTTAGGGATTTCAGTCCACAATTGGGTAGAATCATTTGCATCCCATAGGGATGCCAAAGGGAAATGACTAGAAGTATGGTAGAGCAAAATTGCTCTATTATGTCCCCCAGGAAGCAAAAGAAAGAGAGAGAATGGGTGGGAAATCCTATAATCCCCATTGAAGCCACATCCCCAATAACCTGAAGACCTCCCCCTAGATTCCAGCTCCTAAAGGTCTCACCCCAATAAAGCATCCCTTGGGACCAAACCTTTAACACATGAGGATCTGAGGAACAGTTAGGGTTCAGGCTATAGCAATGATGAATCTGCTTTTTCACATAGGTATCCTTGGTGGGCTTCCTGTTCCTTTTGGGCTTGTACATCTCATCCCTGGCCTCCTGTATGGGGGGACTCTATGGGGCCCCCCGGATCCTGCAGTGCATTGCCCAGGAGAAAGTGATTCCTGCACTTGCCGGTCTGGGGCAAGGGGTGAGTGACCAAGTATCTATCTATCTATCTATCTATCTATCTATCATCCATCTATTTAGAAACCTAAGATCCTTTCTGATTAAAGCCTCTGGTCCAGCACTCTGGATATAGGACAAAGGGAAGTACAGAGGTGATTTTTTTGTAGCCCCTCCATCCCTTGACTAGCTTAGGCCAGGGGTTGGGGTGGGGGGCTGAGGGATTAGATGAAGCTAGCTTCGGAATGGGAGTGTTTTGGACCCTGAGCAACAGTGAAATGGAGAGCTCCATCCTTTAACAAAGACATATTCAGGATCATCTGAGTTTATCATAGAGTAAAGACTCTCTGGCCCTCCCAGCTCTAACTTCCCCTCTAGGCTCACTGTGCCTGGCAGGGTGCTATTTAATGGTTTTCCCCACTCTGGCTCCAGGCTCCGTGTGAACTAGCACCTCAGTGAGACTTAACTGGCACTGAATAGCTGGGTTGTGTCATGGCTGGGACAAAAATCAAAGGAAACATTCCTAAAATCCAGGGAATGACAATAGAGAAATACACAGAGAATTCGATGTCTCTTTCAAGAGTGTCAGAGGATCAACAATACTGAGATACAATGCAGCTGTGAAATGAAGATAGCAAATAAAGTTCACTGAAAGCCAGGGGTGAGGAAAGGGAGGGTGTCAGTCTGATCAAATACGTGCTTAAGTATAACACCACAGTGAAACTCCTTTGAACAATCAGCATACACTAAAAAAAAAAAATAATGAAGGACAGGAATGTAAACCTGCCTGGTATATGGGTACTAGTAGGAGGGAGGAGGTCAAACAGGGAGGGTAAAGGTCATGGTTATGACCAAAATACTTTATGTACCTGTGTGAAAGGGAAATGATGAAGCTTGTTGAAACTGGTTTGGAAAAGGGGTGCCAGTTTCAAAATACAATTTTTTAAAGGGCTGAAGTATAGCTCAGTAGAAGAGCATTCACTTAGCATTCAAAAGACACTGTGTTTAATCTCAAAACCCAGAATTAAATAAAAAATTAAATAAATTGTTGGGTGCCTAATCCTAGCAATTCAAGAGGTTGAGAACTGAGGCTGAGAATTTGAAGCAGGCTGGGCAGAGACTCATCTCCAATTAACAAAGTAAAAAGCCAGAGGTGGAGGTATGGCTCTAGTGATAAGAGTGCCAGTCTACAGTGAAAAAGTAAAGTGAGATCATGAGGTCTCAGTACTGCCGAGAGTACATGCACGTGTGTGAACACACACATGAATAGATCTTTCACCTCTTCTCATGGATTGTGATCACTTGTACTTCTACAGTATATCAAAGTACCTGATTTTCTGTAGACAGAACTCCTCTTAGACTCAGGTGAAAAGGTCCTGCTTTATAGATGTGTAAGATTTTTTTTGTCTGGAGGTAAGGTTTGGTTTAACAGATTATAAGCTTGGTTTGTAACTGTTAGTCTTTAGATACAGGACATGTGGAACCCTTTCACATTCTTACTGGTAAATACTTTGGCATAACAGTGTTATAAAGGAGCCTGTTCACAGCTCATTATCAAATGTAACTTTTTTGTCCAGCATGTAGTGAGAAATGCCACCTCAAGTTACTGAGATTTTTAAAAAGTATCAGTGGGACCAGGCACTGGTGGCTCATGCCTGTAATCCTAGCTACTCAGGAGGCTGAAATCTGAAGATCACAGTTCAAAGCCAGCCCGGGCAGGAAAGTCCATGAGACTCTTATCTCCAATAAACCACTGGAAAACCGGAAGTGGTTCTGTGGCTCATGCGGTAGAGTACTCACCTTGAGCTGAAGAGTTGAGGGACAGCACCCAGGCCCAGAGTTCAAGCAAGCCCCATGACCAAACAAAACAAAACAAAAAAAATCAGTGGGGCTGGGAAGGTGGCTCAGTGGTAGAGTGCTTGCCTTGTATGCATAAGGCTCTGGGTTCGATTCCTCAACACCACTAGAGCAGAAAAAGCTGGAAATGGTGCTGTGGCTCAAGTGGTAGATGGTAGAGTGCTAGCCTTGAGCTGAAGAGCTGAGGGACAGCGCCTAGCCCAGAGTTCAGGCCCCACGACCAACCAAAAAAAAAGTATCATTTTATTTTTTGAGACAAAGATCTCGTTGTATAGCCTAGTCTAGCCTTAACTTCGGAGTCTCCCCCTCTCATATGAAAGGATTACAGGCATGCGCTTACATAATCAGCTTTGCATTCCTTTCATTGCAAACTTAGTTTAATATCTTTTACTCTGTGTAAGATTATTTGTATTTTTTTTCCTGTGATTAATAATCGTTGTCTTTTCAATTGCTGGAATGATTAGGAAAATTAACTCCTTGTATTATTATAAATATTTCTCCTAGCTTGTCATTTGCCTTTTAACTTTAGGAACCATTGTTCCCTTAAGGCTTTTTTTTTTTTTTTTTTGGCCAAGACCAGGATTCAAATTCTTAATCTGACACTTTTGCTCACTGGCTGGCACTGAGCAGACTATGTATGAACCATGATCCTCAAATCTCAGCTTCCTGAGTAGCTAAGATTTATAGGCACAAGCTACCAGTGCTTGGCTAGAATTAAATTTTATTAGCACATTTTTTTTAAGTGGAGGAAAAGAAACTTTAAAATATGAGATTATTCAATATATGGAAAAGGGCATAAAAACCAAGGTTTTTCAGAATAACTGAGTGAACATACATACTTGGAGCCTCCACCCAGGAACCCTGTGTGACCCTATACACCATTCCCTAGTTCTTCCCCAAAGAACCTTTCCTCTCCCTCCCACAGGTCCAGAGATCACAATCTTGCTGCTTCAGCTTTAGAGGTTTTCTCAGGGATTTGCAGACTTTCTGGAAAGCATCTGGTAGTACATACTTAGGGATTGCAGGCCTGTGATCTCCACCACTACTGGGCTCTGCTATTGTAACTCAGAAGTAGTCACTGGCAACACCCAATGCTTTATTCATGAATCCAAATGTAAACACCATGTAATTCTCAGGAGTCATCAAAAATTCTTCTTTTGATCCCCAGTTGCTTAAAAATGTAAAACCATTCTTAGCTCATGACACATAAAAGCACTTGTATTTGGCCCAGGGGCCATAGTGTACTACCCATTCCTTAGTACCTATCTCTGCATGTCTTAAAACAAAAGCTTGCCAGTTTCTGAACTTTAAACACTGACTGAATATCCCTTATCTTAAATACTTGGACCCGAAGTGTCTCACATTTGGCTTTTGGATTATTTTCTTATACATAATGAGATATCCTGGGGATGGGACCCAAGTATGAACATGAAATTCATTTATGTTTCACATACAACCTTATTTAAATTAGCCTGAAGGTAATTTCATGCAATGTTCTCCATAATTTCACACATGAGAAAAGTTTCACGGTGTGGGATTTTTCCACTTGTCATACATTGATATGACTTGCAAAGTCATATCACAAAGACAAAAACTCACAGAGTGTCAGATTTGGGAGCCTATTAGGAATGGAACTTTGCACTGTGGATACTCAGGATTTTCCTGCCCAGGCTGGCTTTGAACTCAGATCTCAGCCTCCTGAGAAGCTAGGATTACAGGCATGAGCCACAAGCACCTGGCAGATGTGCAAATTTATTATTAGAACCTTACCTCTCCCCTCCAGCCACCAGTGATTTTGCAATGTCTTCCAGGCTCTACCATTCTGTAGGTGTGTCAGGTATGGAATCAACTCTGCATCTATTTGACTTTCAAGGCTGGTATGCAGACACAGTCAAAGACAAAAGGAAAAACTATTGGGGAAGTCAAAGCTCTCCAGAGGTGCCCATGTTGATAGTTCTAAATACGGTCACCATATGTGGTCTTTTAGGAGGGTCTCATGTATCATGCTGTATTAGCTTGCTAGGTGCACTCCAGCTCTCTTACATGACCTGTGTGCTGGACACCATCATCTCAAGTGTTCAGATGAACAACCAACACATAGGGAAAAATGACTGAGCCATTCATTATAAGTTTAGTTTTCTATCATAAACATTCTTAAATTTCAGAATATTCCTCCTGAAACCTCCTAGTCCTTCACATTACTTTTGTTTCTGCAGAGAGGGCCAAATAAAACACCTGTAGCAGCCATCTGCCTGACCAGCGTGGTGACCTTGGCCTTTGTCCTTGTGGGTCAGGTGAATGTTCTGGCACCTATCGTCACTGTCAACTTCATGATGACATACATAGCAGTGGACTACTCTTACTTCTCCCTGTCAATGGTACCCGAGCCAGGGCTAAGAGAGGACTCAGAACATCTCCACCGCTCTGAGCATCTGCTGTTGAAGAAAGCTCCCAGCGATGTCACTAAGGGCCCTGCCGGAAGCGTCTCTGAGGGCACTCTCCTCGAATTCAGCAAGGACATGGATCAGCTCCTCCAGCTGACCAGACACCTGGAGAGTAACCAGTCCAGGCTGGGAGAGGATAACAGGACCCCAGACAATCAGAAGAGGAAAAGCAAGAAGGCCACCATGCAAACCCTACAAGAAAGCTTCCTCTTGGATGTCAAGCCCTCTCCTTCCTTCCCTTTGGAAAGCTCTAATGGGTTGCACTCTGTCTCTTGGGAAGGGCCGGAGCCTCACCCAAACAAGCAAACTCCCAAGAGTGTAGGAACGCGTCCTGAAGGAGCACCAGGCCAGCAGCCTGAGCCTGAGCTGTGCAGCCAGCCCAGGCCAAGGGGAGGTGAGTGCTTTGGAAGCACACTGTAGCCTTCTAGTTTCAGTGGCCACTGGTTGTCTAACCTACCTAATCAAATTGTACTTTTACTTCAGAGATTCTCACATTCTTCATTCCTGGAGAGAGAGAGAGAGAGAGAGAGAATGTGTTAGTCCTAAAGCCTTGGACTCAGGGCCTGGACACTGTCCCCGAGCTTTTCTGTTCAAGGCTAATGCTCTATTATTTAAGCCACAGCTTCATTTCAGGACTTTTGACACTTAATTGGAGTTAAAAATCTCAGGGACTTTGCTGCCTGAGATATCTTTGAATTGTAATCCTCAGATCTCAGCTTCCTGAGTAGTTAGGATTTACAGGCATGAGCCACTGGAAGACATCCTGGATATTTTTGTTGTTGTTGATCATAAATGCAGAGTGGAAAATTATACAACTCAGTTTATAACACATACTCACATACACATACACGTTTGTCATGCTTTTAGTTCTTTTGAGTAGATAACCAGGAATAGAATTGCTGGAACATGTAACAATTCTACTTTTCAATTTTTTGAGTAGGTATGAAAATATCACAATGAAGTCCCCTTGTGATACAAATATATGTTAACTTAAAAATAAAATTAAGGCTGGGTATCAGTGACTTATTCCTGTAATCCTAGCTGCTCAAGGGGCTGGGGTCTGAGGATCTCAGTTCAAAAGCAGTGTGGGTGGGGTGCCAGTGGCTCTCACCTGTAATCCTAGCTACTTAGGAGGCTGAGATCTAAGGATCTCAGTTCAAAGCCAGCCCTGGCAGGAAAGTCTTATCTCCAATAAACCACTAGAAAACCAGAAGTGGTGCTGTGGCTCAAGTGGTAGAGCACTTGCCTTGAGCTAAAGAGCTGAGGGACAACGCCCAAGCCCAGAGTTCAAGCCCCAAGACCAACAAAAAATTTTTAAAAAGTCTGGGCAGACAAATCCAAGAGACTCTTTATCTTCAATTAACCAGCAAAAACTCAGAAGTAGAGGCATGATTCAAGTAGTAGAACAATATCTGTGAGTAAAAAAGCCAAGTGAGAGTGCTAGGCCTTGAGTTCAAACCTCAGTACTGGCACAAAACAAAATAAAATAATAAAATTAAGAAAAATTTTGAGGAACTCCCATATTGTTTTCTGTAGTGGTTATTCCATTGTACATCACTACCATCAGGCCCAATATCGATTTGATAAGTCTCTTAAAGAGTAAATCAATTATGGGTAGATTCTGACCAAGGCCTGCCTTTTTCTCCTTGATTATTTCATACTGCTTTGTTTTGCTGCAGTACACATAGCATCTTGCTAAGAAAGGAAGAACTATATGTTTTGAGTCTTTTGAGTTCTGAAATTGTCTAGTCTCACATTTGACTTACAGTTTGGTTGAATGTAAAAGCATTGTTGAAAATAGTTTTTCTGCTGTCATATAAAATCAGCCCACTTTTGATGCTCACTTTTCACTGTGGAGAAATTTGGCATGCTGATCTCACAGGAGAGCCTTTGAATAAGGACTGATCCTACCTTTTCCTCTCTGGAGGTTTTAAAGTCATCTTCTTTTTGTAGTCATTGTAATGGTTTACTTACTTTGTTCTTTTATTTCAGAAGTTCTCACATCCTTTAATTCTGAGATTTTGGTTGGTGGTGGTCTCAGTTTAGAAAATCATACAACTCAGTTCATGACATATTGCCATTGCTTATTCAAAAGGTACTTAAATCCTATTTCTTTCCTTCCTTCCTTCTTTCCTTCCTTCCTTCCTTCCTTTTTTCTTTTCTCTCTCTTTCTTTCCCTCCCTCTCTCCCTCCCTCTCTCTCCCTCTCTCTCTCTCTCTCTTTCTTCTTTCTTCCTTTCTTTCTTTCTCTCTCTCTCTCTCTTTCTTTCTTTCGTGTGTGTGCTGGTACTGGGGCTTGAACTCAAGATCTGGGCACTGTCCCCTGGGCTTTTTCCACTCAAGGCTGGTTTTCTACCACTTGATCCACACCCCCACTTCACACATTTTACTGGTGAATTGGAGATAAGAGTCTCACTACTTTCCTGCTCAGGCTGGCTTTAAACCACAATCCTCAGATCTCACCCTCCTGAGTTGCTAAAATTATAGACACCAAAGCCACCAAAGCCCAGCTTTCTATTGATCTTTTAATGTCTCTGGTTTCCCACAAATAAAACCTTTACTTCTTTTTTGTTTTGTTTTGTTATTGAGACAAGCTCTCTCTTGTAGCTCAGACTGTCAACACTGTTGTCTGTCCATCTATCAAGCCTTATTTTTACCTTTTCTCTGTATGCCGGTTTATGCTTTTTGTAACTTCTCAGGGGGTTTTCAGAACTACCTGGTCAGATCTCAATCTTTGATAAAATGCTTACTTCCCAGGTGCCCAGTACTAAAAACACTAGAACCCTTGTTGACTATTCCTTTTTTCCCTGTCTTTGTTGCCTCTACCTCAGAACAAACCTTCATCATCTCAGTTTCAAACTACTGGCCTATCTCCAGACTCCTCCACCTGGCTCCCCTCTCCACTACCCACTGAATGATCTTCTTCCTTGCCCAGAAGCCTTTGCTAGACTCTAATATCCACCATCTATAAAGTCTAGACCATGTATGCTATATACAGTTTCTCACCATCCCATCCCACTGTTTCCTGCCTCTTCACAGTGCCATGCACTATGCATTCCAGGAGTGCCTAGACCAGTGCTCTGAACATACCACGTTGTGGTCCTACCTGCCTTTGCATATCCTGTCCTATCCCCTCAGATGGGCTCACCTCCTCCTCCTGTCTCTATTTGGAAAAGTCTGGCATTGAAAAGTTCACCTCTTCTGAGGATTCCATGTTTCCTCCACTGTGCAACTGTAACATCTTATGCTACTAGTATCAACTACTATCAACTTGTTTTTCATTGAAATCACATTTGTCTGGAGTCTGTCTGTCTCAAAGGAAAATGAATGTTAGTTCTATCCCTTTGTTACTAGATTGTGAGCTGCCTGGGGTCACAAAGTATCCTTTTTACGTTCCTTTCGTTACATTAAGAAAGCCCTTTCAGCATACAGAAAGTAGCAAACACCCAGCAAAGCCCAGGCAAACTGATAATCAGTTAAATAGATATGGCCAAAAATTTGAAGCATGAGTTCATTAAGTGATGAGAAAGTTAAACTATTACAAGAACCTAACTAGATGTCATCAAATGATAAGAATTGAATCACAACGAATAAATATTCTTGAAAGCAAATAGATTAAAAAATAACTTCAGTCTCTATACCTTAGGTACACATGTTTGTTATTTACAATGGCTGTGTGAGAGATATTTCTGCCTGTTGTAGATCTCATGAAAGATAAAATAGGGATCTGATTAAATAGAAACAAAAAACGTTTGTACAACACAGAATCACAGAAGGAAACAATTATTCTGACAAACACAACTGATAAAAGCATACCTTCCAAAGCATATTATATATTTAAAACAGGAATGTCAGAGCCCAGATTCCTCTAAAAAGAGCTCAGGAGACATGCGTACAGTTTACATTTGAAAAGGTCAGTGCCCAGATTCATGCATATCCATTCAAAAAACTTAACTTTCTCTCTTTCTCTGTGTGTGTGTGTGTGTGTGTGTGTGTGTGTGTGTGTCTGTCTGTCTGTCTGTCTGTCTGTCTGCCTGTCTGCCTGTCTACCTCTCTCCCCCTCCCCCTATTGAGGATTCAACTCAGGGCCTGATGCTGAAGCTTGCTAGCCAAATGCTCTACCACTTAAGCCACACCTCACAACCCCTTTTTGCATTGGTTATTTTCAAGGTAGGATCTCACTTTTATGCCAGGACAGTCTGGACAATGGTCCATCTACTTGTACTTTTCTGGGTCACTGGGGATGATAGGAGCACACCACAGCACCCAGCCCAGCGTTTGTACATCCTCTATTGTTGGGATAATAAGTGCATGCCACCGTGACCAGCCACTGAGTGTGATGCAGACTCTTGAACTATTATGTCCATGTTTGCCTCAAAACTCAACCCTTGGATCTCTGCCTCTCAGATAGCTAGGATTACAGGTCTAAGTGCCATACCTACCTACTAACTTTTCTATTTAAAGCATTATATATTGTTAATAGCTAAAATTAGCCATCATTTATTATGTCTTATGTGACTTGCACTGACAAAAAAAACTTTAATATGGATTTTTTTCTAAACCCAGAGTTACACATTTGATATTAGACTTTTACAGATCATAAAGGTAAAGGTTTAGAGAAGTTGGACACTTGCTTAGGATAGAAGACAGAATTTAAACAGAGGGCTCTCTGACTTCAGAATGTATACTCTTAACCCTAGTGTAAAATGTATTCTACTTGCTGTGAGTAGCTGTTATGAACTAGGCTATTGTATTAATTAAATGAAAATAAACCATCTTTAAGATATCATTGCATATCTATTAAGTTATTAATAATTGATAATAGTAGGTCTGTAATAAGTACACCCTGCTGGAAGCAACATTAGCTGGTTCATTCCTATTGGACCTGTTTTTTAGGATTATTTCTTTTTCTTCTTCCTTTTTTTTTTTTTTTTTTTTGCCAGTCCTGGGGTTTGGATTCAGGGCCTAGGCACTGTCCCTGAGCTTAAGAACCTCAAAGCTAACATTCTACCACTTGAGACATAGTGCCACTTCTGGCTTTTTCTGTTTATGTAGTACTGAGGAATAGAACCTAGGGTTTCATGCATGCTAGGCAAGCACTCTATCATTAAGCCACATTCTAGCCCTATGTGGTTATTTCTTAAGGTATTTTAAATATCTTTATTATAACAATGATGAACAGGGGGTCACAGTTATATAAGTAAGGTAATGAGTACAGTCCTCTTCCCTGCAAGTTGTATGTTCGTTCATTTCCAATGTAGTGTCAAGAGAGTATCATTGTTACATTAGTTCCTCCTTTGTCCTGCTGTTTCTGTGATTCCCTTCCACAGATCAGATAAATTTACATACAAGACAAAAGGTATAGGAAACTAAAACAGAAAAAAATGAAATAACTGCATATAGCACATAATAAGAGTCTCTTGTTTCCAGTGCTTGGAGTTTATGTTGATATACTTCATTATATATGGTCCTATGCACTTAGCAATTGGACTATTGATAGTGATAGTTTCTGTTTTTAAGGTCACAAGACATTGATATTTTGTCTTTATTTTGCTAAGCATATTTATAAGGGCTGCTTTCATGTCTTTGTTTGCTAAATCTAACTTTTGTTTTTTGGCCAGTCCTGGGGCTTGAACTCAGGGCCTGGGCTTCTTTTGCTCAAGACTAACACCCTACCACTTGAGCCACAGACCACTTCAGGTGTGTTCTGCTTATGTGGTATTGAGGAATTGAACCCAGGGCTTCATGCATGCTAGGCAAGCATTCTACCACTAAGCCACACTCCCAGCCCAGTTGATGTTTATTTTTTTCTAAGTCTGAATGGTTTCTTTGCAAGTCATGTAATTTTTAGTTGTAAACTAGACAATGCATGTGATATATTGCAGCAGCTCTTGATTCTGAGGTATATTTTAAGTTTTATTTTTATCTTGTTTTTGTTTCTGTAAACTGCCTGGGTTTAGCTGTGGAATCCATCTCCCCCATGGTGGATGAATATGGCTATTGGTGTCTTCAGTCAGGTGTTTTGTTTTGTTTTGGTCGTGAGGCTTGAATGCTGGGTGTGGGTGCTGTCCCTCAGCTCTTGGGTTCAAGGCTAGTGCTCTGCCACATGAGTCAAGGTCCCATTTCTGGTTTTCTGGTGCTTTATTAGAGATAAGAGTCTCACAGGCTTTCCTGCCAGGGCTGGCTTTGAACTGCGATTCTCAGATCTCAGCCTCCTGAGTAGTTAGGATTACAGGCGTGAGCCACCGGCACCCAGCTGTTTGTTTGTTTAATTCTCATGAATAAAATTCTTTTATCTCAGCTCTCTAGAAGGTGGCCCCATATGTGTCCATATTTCATAGACTTTTTCTGTCTTCTGTGGGTATGGGGGTGGGTTGGGAAGCACAAAGTTCTGGGCAGTCCTCTGATTTTCTAGACTTCAGTTTCTTGTCAGATTTCATAGGTATCACCAGTCATGAGCATTGTTTGCTGGTCATGCAGTCAACTATGGTGAGGTTATCTGGTCCTTCAATAGCTTTCTCATTTCCAGGATCTCCCTATTAAATTTCTGACCAGACTACTGCTCACTCTAGCTAGGTTCACAACTTAGACTAGCAAAGCAAAGAATTAAGAATGTTCTCCCACACACTTTCTACCTTGCTTAGCATATTCATTTTATAAAGCTAGTCATTCCTCCTACCCTGTTGTGTACGGGCAAACCTGATTGTTTCTCAACTGAAGAAGTTTGACGTAGCCTAGGCAGCCAGCCTGAGAGCTCAGGGTTCTTAGCCTCAGCTCCAGCTATTTTTAAAAAGCAAATGTATTTCAACTTGTCTTCATCTGTTAAATTTCTGGAGCCTCCAAGTTTTTTTCTTCTTCTATTTTGTCTTATTTTGTTCTTATTCAGGGAAGAGGTTCCCTGACCTGTTCACACTGCCATAGCTTGAAGTCCCTTTGGTTCATTCTGTCTGGAGCATGATTCATTCTCTCTCACTCGCACTCTTTTTTTCTCTCCTTCCTGCTTTCCCCTCTCACTGTCTCTTTTTCTCTTTATTATTCTTCTGGTACCCTCACTATCTCCCACTCCCCAACTATCTGATTAAATACAAGGCTTTGCTCACACTAGGTAAGCCTTTATGACTCACCTACATCCCTAGCCCCTACATGGTGATCTTTTAAGATATAACAAGAAGCCTGGCACCAGTGGCTCACGCCTGTAATCCTAGCTACTCAGGAGGCTGAGATCTGAGGATCATGGTTCAAAGACAGCCAAGACCAACACCCCCCCCCCAAAAAAAAAAGTAACAAGAAATAAAGATGACGTGGAAAATTTAGTTGGTAGAGTTGTTTCTAAGAAATAAGCCCAAACCAAACAACAAACAAGAAGTGTGTACACAATTGTCACAGTTACATTGTATGTGACTTGGAAATCACTGTAAAGCAGCTAAGCAAATTATAACATCAACATGATGAAATACCATGTAGACTGTAAACACAATTCTGTGCAACACACATCTTCAGTTTCTACATGCTAATTAGAATGATTTATTCTTCTAAAACTATGGAGTGGATTTTTTTTTTTTTTGGTCTGGGCCTGGGTGCTGTCCTTCAGCTCTTCAGCTCAAGGTTAACACTACCACTTGAGCCACAGTACCACTTCCAGTTTTCTGAGTGGTTTATTGGAGATAAGAGTCTCATGGAATTTTCCTGCCCAGTCTGGCTTTGAACCAGGATCCTCAGATCCCAGTAGCTAGGATTACTGGCATGAGCCACTGGCACCCGGCTATGGAGAAGATTTTGGAAATGGTTTGATATTGATTTTAAGTAATTTGTATAAAATTACTTAAATTCAGCCAGGAGCTGATGGCTCATTCCTGTAATTCTAGCTACTCAGGAGGCTGAGATTGAGGATCAAGATTCAAAGCCAACCAGGGAAAAAATGTTCATGAGACTCTTAACTTCAGTTAACTAGCAAAAAGCAGGAAGTGGGGTATGGCTCAAGTAGTAGAGTGCCAGTCTTGAGGAAAAAAAACCAAGTGGGAGTGCAAGGCCCTGAGTTCAAGCCCCAGTACAGGCACACACACACAAAAAAAACAATTAAATTCATTATTTTAAAATGGATGTAGTTTGATTATTCCTCCTTCATGCTTGAAATATTTATATCTGCACATGTTTTATTAGCATAAAATTTCTTACCTGAATCTTAAATCAATAATATGCATTGTGTTTATTGTTATAAGTGATGCCTGGCTTTATTTATTTATTGGTTGTTTTGTAACTATGGGCTTCATAACGTGAATTGCCTGATTGTTACTAGTATTTCTAGCATATGAAATTATCCCCTTCCCTAACAGGTGTATAAGACATGCTTCTTCTAGCAAAATCCTTCAAGAGAAAACAGTTCCTTCAGTCAGTTTGTAAGAGTATTGGAACTATAGCTACTCAGAATTATGAATAATCGCCAGCCCCTGTTTTACCTATGCAACATCATTAAGAAACCATTTATGAATTCTTCCTTCCATATCTAAAAGTGCATTGGTTGCCTGAAAGACAAACCCTACTGCTCCTTCTGAAGTTTCTCTGATAACACACACACACACACACACACACACACACACACACACACACACACACACAAGGTATAATAGAGATGCTCTTCTGATTTTGATGGAGTTATGTCCTAATAAACCCTTTGCAAACTGAAGGTATGCCACAATGTCAATTACTGGTCACTATAGCATAGCAACAGAGGACCTGTGGAATGTCAGTTATTTGTCCTCATGATTGTGGGTGACTGAGAGCTGTGGCTTTCTGCCACTGCCCAGCATCACAAGAAAGTATCAGACACATGGTGCTAGCCTGAGAAAAGATCAGAATCCACACTAAGAGGTACAGTGTCTATTCAATGTACCTTCATAAACTAGGAAAACCTAAGTGGAAACATCCGAAAATCAGGGACCATGTTGTATATTGATCAAAGTTGTAAAAGGGTTAACTTAATATTTGAGGAATCTCGGAGAGGCAAAATACAAGTTTTTAGCCAATAGTGGGTTTTTTTTTGGGGGGGGGGTTGGAGTCCAGTTGTGGGGCCTGAATTCTGGGCCTGGGCGCTGTCCCTCAGCTCTTCAGCTCAAGGCTAGTACACTACCACTTGAGCCACAACGCCACTTCCGGCTTTTTTCTTTTTGCTTATGTGGTGCTGAGGAATCGAACCCAGAGCCTCATGCATGCAAGGCAAGAGCTCTACCACTGAGCCACCTTCCCAGCCCCACCAATAGTGTTCTTAACAACCAAAAGAGTAACTCTTTTATTATAACTCTTATGAAAAAAATGAATCACCGACTGAGTATATTAAACTGACAAAATTTGGTCAATGGTAATAATAACAGAATTCCTTCTTTGTTTTTTTCAAAAATAAAGTCATAGAACCATTTATTCACACTAGTCATAAATCTCAGCAGGTTTTATTTTAATCCTTTCTACAGTTAGCATTTAGGAATATAAAACCTGATACTTGCCCTCCAGATTAGGATTTACAACAAGCTAAGTATCATAGCTAGGGACATAAGATGAAGGTAAAGATCTGTTAAGAGGATGAAGACTTCTTTGGAGCGCTGGGAAGGTGGCTCAGTGGTAGAGTGCTTGCCTTGCATGCATGAGGCCCTGGGTTCGATTCCTCAGCATCACAAAAGCAGAAAAAGCAGGAAATGGCTCCAAGTTGTAGCCTTGAGCTGAAGAGCTGAAAGACACAGTGCCCAGGCCCAGAGTTCAGGCCCCACAATCGACAGAGAAAAAAAAAAAAAGACTTCTTTGGAGGTACAGGTTCATTTATTCATTCAGTCATGTAGATGAACATCTCCTACATTCCAGGCACTGTTTTAGAGGAATGTGCTGAACAAAAGAGGAACATAAGAGATCTTTTCTGTCATGGGGCTTACATTCTAGCAGAAGAAAATACATAAGAAATAAGAAAATAGGAAGTTGCGCTGTAGCTTAAGGGGTAGAGTGCTGGACTTGAGTGAAAAAACTCAGAGACAGCACCCAGCCCTGAGTTTAAGCCCCATGACCTACAGAAATTTTTTTAAAAAGAAAGAAGAAAATATATACTGTAATTTCTGTTAGGTTAGTATTATGGAGAGTTATACAGCAGGGCAATGGGATAGAGACCAGAGTTGGGTAAGAGGTTATACTGTTTCCCACTAGGGAGATAATGTTTCAATAGAGAACTGAATTTTATGAAGCAGTTAGCCTTGCAAAAAAATAGAGTCCTAGGGAGAGTAAATGGCACAGTTTGGAAATGGTTTGGCAATTTCAAGAACGGTTGAGGTTCAGCGATGACTAGAAAGCAGCAAGCCATGGAGAAAAAGGTAGGAGAGGAGTCCAGGGAGGAAAGTCAAGGGAGAAGGAAGTCATTGTGAGACACATGGAAGTTTCTACCTGAGGCCACAATGTCATCAGATTAGACTTCAAGATTATGAGCAAAACAAGTATAGTAGCATAAGCCTACATGCCTAGCACAGGAGGCTGAGGTAGGAGGCCTATGAGTTCCAGGCCAACTTTGTTGAGGATATATTAATGAGGGTATGCTAAACTACTATAATGAATAATTTTTAAAATAGGGCGGCTCAAACATAATATAAATTTATTTTTCACTTCTATTAACAGTCCAGAAAGTGTTCCATCTGGGGGGGAGGAGGGAACTTTCTTCCATTCATTGATTCAGAGAACCATCATCCTTCCTTCCCTCCCTCCCTCCCTCCCTCCCTCCTTCCCTCCCTTTCTTCCTTCCTTCTTTCCTTCCCTCCTTCCTTCCTTTTTCCCTTTCCTTGCTCCCTCCTTTCTTCCTTTCTTTTTTGTAGTACTGGGCTTAAGCTCAGGGCCTCATGCTCTCATTGGGCTTTCTTGCTCATGACTTGAGCCATGCTTTCAGTCTGGCATTTTTGCTGGTTATTTAGAGATGGAGTCTCATGAACTTTTCTTCCCAGACTGGATTTGAACCACGATCTCCAGATCTCAGCCTCCTGAGTAGCTTCTAGGTGTGAGCCACTAGTACCTAGCTAAGCAGTCTCCTTTCATTTGAATAAATTCATAATTCCCTAGGACACTTACCTTGGGCAATGTCAAGGAAGAGTTATAAAGTTCAGAGTTCAGGCAGAGGAAATGGAAAGAGCCTAAAGAAGAGGCACATATTCTCTTAAAGATCTTGTTTAGTTCTAGGGATTAAATCCAGGGCCTTCAACATAATAAGCAAGTGCTATATCACTGAGCTACATCCCCAGCACAAATGAATTTTTTTTAAGTTTTTTAAAAAAGGAAAAGGAGGCCAAGCGCTGGTGGCTCACACCTATAATCCTAGCTACGCAGGAGGCTGAGATCTGAAGGTCACAATTCAAAGCCAGACAGAGCATGAAAGTCTGGGAGACTCTTATCTTCAATTAACCACCAGAAAACCAGAAGTGGTGCTGTGGCTCAAGTGGCAGAGCGTTCACCTTGAGCTGAATAGCTCAGGGACAGTGCCCAAACCCAGAGTTCAAGCCCTACAACCAGCTCCCCCCCAAAAAAATCTAAAAGGAAAAGGAGGTGACAAGCTGAGAGTAGATTACTTAAACAGTCACAATTTAGGACATATGAAGCTACTGGTAATAACTGCCCTCAGATGTGGCAATAGGTGAGTGAAAGAAAAGATTGTTGGAGAGCAGGGCCTTGGGTGGGCTCTTTATATAAAGTTAACAATAATGGTGATGAGGTGGTGATAGAAAAATGGCAAATTAGAGACCAGCATCTTTACCAGTGGAGCCAAGAGTAAGTAGGAAGTTGGTAAAGGACTTCTGAATGGGCTGTGTGTTAGACTGTCTGTTACTATGCTTTGGCTCATAGTTTCAGAGGTTTTATTCTATAGTTCTTGGCTCCATTGCTTCTGGGCCACGGAACATCATGGTGATAGGAGGATGTGGTGGAGGTTTCTTACCTCATGGTGGACAGGAAGCAGAGGGAGGAAAAAATAGAGGAAGGGGAAGTGCACATGATACATTCTTCAAAGGCACGCCCATAGTGATGTACTTTCTCCAGCCAGTTCCCACTCAGAGTTGAAGACCTCTTCAAATTGTGAATCCATCAGTGAGTTCACCCATTCATGAAGTCAGAGCCCCCAGTACATGAGCTTTGGGGATATTTTCATATTTATATGTAATAGTTAGGGTGTGAAATAGTCTGATGGCTTTGTGCTTCGGAGAGGTTAGGTGAAAAAGCCACAGTGACCAGAGAAGACAGAGGACCTAGACTAGAAATACATAGCAAGGGCCAGCTGCAGGCCAAGCTCTAGATTCAAGACCAATATTGGATGTTGCCTTAGAAGTATATAACCCAGTAGACATGGAAATACATAAATAGATATAGAACTACAAATAACAATAAGTGATATGAAAGAAAGGAGAGGGGCTGGGAAGGTGGCTCAGTGGTAGAGCGCTTGCCTTGCATGCATGAGGCCCTGGGTTCGATTCCCGAGCACCACATAAGCAAAAAGAAAAAGAAGCCGGAAGTGGCGCTGTGGCTCAGGTGGTAGAGCACTAGCCTTGAGCTGAAGAGCTGAAGGACAGTGCCCAAGCCCAGAGTTTAGGCCCCACAATCGGACCCCCCCCCAAAAAAAAGAAAGGAGATGGGCACAAGGAAATATTAACAATAGCACTTAGATTTTTGTGGTAGGAACAATTTTTATGATAAAGTGATAATAAGCTGAGACTTGGGGACTGAATAGAAGTTAAGCAAATAGAAGGCTGGAGGATCTCAGCTGGATTCCAGGGTCCAACCTATCAGAAACAGATGAAGTTGGGAAGAAGATACTGTATAAGACAGGATCAGGACCCCAAAGAAGTGGAAAAAGCTGAGCAGAGGAGTTGGTGTAATTCATTGTAGTTTGACTGAAACAAGTCTTTGGTACTAGAGAGGAGAGAGTTAAGCTGTCAGCACTATTTCCTGAGCAACACACTATGACAGTTTAATGTTGAAATGATATGTAAACTTACAGCAAAGTTAATCCAACATACCATTTGTTTGAATCACCACAGTGGTGTTTGTGGCGATTAGACCGTATTGTCAAACAATCTATGTGTATTTTCATGGTTAGATGGAGCATGTCTGGAATCAGGGGTAAACTGAGAAAGCAGAGACCAATAAAACATGACACGCTTTGAGATGCTCTGATGTGCTGAACTTATTGAAGAGCATGTATATGTTTGCAGCCAGATCTTGTTTTTCCCCTCCCTCAGCCTTTTCAGCTGCTGAAGGGAGAAATCAGAGTAGCATTTCTCTCCCCCTCTTCCTCCTTCATTAGTATCTGGTCTATACCTGAGATGAGGCTAATCTGAACTGCCCTTCAGAGTTAGATGATGCTTAAAAACTACCTTGCAGTAGACAAAAACCAGGTTGGGGCTTTTGTTCTAGTGGTCACACCTGGGGCCATGAACATAGGCTAATTCCACCATTCTTCTCCCTTTCATATGAAAAAGGGGGAGATCTGAACATCTAGTTCCCACAAACAACAGATCTGACAGATGGACCATGGACTTTCAGGGAACTTCATCTCTACTCTGCTCTTTCTTTTCAGATCCCTGGCTGGTGGAAGGCCACAAACCCTTTGTTTTTCCTTCAGTGACACCAAGTGCTAAAAATTGTCTTTAGGCTGAATTACAAAATTCAGAGAGAGGAGCTAATAGGTGTTTGCTCATAAAAACAGAAGAAAGTTGATAGTAAATTGATAATCAAAGCTTTGACTCATTTATTTTTTAGATTTCTTCCTGAAATCCAGACTTCAGGAACAAGAGATCCAGAGGAGATCAACTTCTTTCTACACTAGAATATGCAACCCCTGGGTCTCTCTGTTAGGGGTGAGTAACTTCATCTCAACCTCAGTTGTCATTAAGATATAATTCAAGTGTTGTTATGAGTGATTTGATGAGGAAGAGGGCTTAAATAAAAGAAATGTGATTGATTTGCCTGCTGGATAAGAATTTAAATGAGACAACATCTGTTAAAATTAACATTTAATAAACCTCTTATTATAATCTTACTTATTTCTTAAGTAATTGTATCTGATAACCTTTGGGTTACCAAATTTCATGCTAATCTGTTGCTTATAGAAGAGAGTTTGATAAGGACATAGGCTAAATTATCTGCTTATTAGATACTTTGGTGGTGGTGGTGGTGGTGGTAGCGGTGGTTGTGGGGCTTGAACTCAGGGTTTGGGTGCTGTCCCTAAGCTTTTTTGCTCAAGGTTAGTGCTCTACTACCTTCAGCCACAGCTTTACTTCTGATTTTTGGGTGGTTAATTGGAGTAAGAGTCTCACAGACTTGCCTGCCTAAGCTGACTTTGAACTGTGATCCTCAGATCTCAGTGTCCTCTTGAGTAGTTAGGATTATAAGTATGAGCCCATCAGACCTGCTGTTAAGTAGTTTTGGTTAAAGTTACTTGCAGAGAGTGTCTTACCAAATACATGCTTACATGAGGTTTATGATTGAACTTCAGTTATACAGACCTTAACACAGAGTAGAAGTTGAGGAGAGATATTTTGTTTTTTAGGGCCATAGTCTTCTATCATGTTTACCTTGTGGGAAACCATTAGGTGACTTGTGCGTCCTATGTGTTTCCACAGGCTGTTGGGTCCCTTCTCATCATGTTTGTGACTCAGTGGGTCTATACCCTGATCAGCATGGGTGTTGCTGCCATTGTGTATTTCTACATTGGCCAAGCCAGTCCAGGGCTTCACCTTGGTAAGCGGCTGAACAATTTTTCCATCATTTCCTTTTTTCTCTGTCTTTTTTTTGAAATTTTTTGTTTTGAACACCATGTAAGTGCCAATGATGACAGAGGTATGAATCACATTTTTAAGTAACTTATATGCTAAGAAGAGAAATATAATATACACCTAAATAGTTATAAATGAAAAATAACAGGTTATCATAAGGTTGTAAGACATCTAGTAGTAAAATGAATGACAACAATAGCACAGGGCCAAGAGGAAAGAAAAATATGGTTGAAATGAGCTATCCTACTTTAAGTTTCTAATTATATTTGTGAAATAATGTATTACTTGAAGGTAGATTATGGTCAATTTAAGATTTATAGAATGTAAACCCTAACATAACCGCTAAAGGACATAGTGAAGAATTATAGCCAATAAGCCAATCAAAGAAATTAAGTGAAAGAAAAAAAATACTCCAACCAAAATAAGGTAGAAAAAGAGTAAAAATAATAATGGATATTTGGAACAAACACAAAACAAATAGAGGCAGGCCATAGTGGTGCACGTATGTAATTCTAGCCTTGGAAAATGGAGGCAGAAGGATCATGTGTTTGACACTAGCTTGAGCTACACAATGAGTTTTAGATCAGCTGGCCTACACACAGCAAGTCCTTGTCTGAAACACACACAAAAACACACATACATGACAGAGGGATGAGGGGAGAAGGAAAGATGAGCTGCTATTGTTGTTCCTTTTGTTTTGATATATAGCCCACACTGACCATGAATGTGCAGTCCAACTGCCTTGGACCACCAAAGCAAGTCAGACTAAAAGGAATATGTCATTATGCTAGATAAAGAAAGATGGCTATATGAACCTCACCATATCAGATTTAATATAGGTAGTATAATCACACCCAGCTAAATGGCAAAGTTTATCAGGTAACCCATCAGGCACCAGTGGCTCACATCTGTGATCCTAGTTACTCAGGAGGCTGAGTTCTGAAGATCACTGTTTGAAGCCAACCTGAGCAAGAAAGTCCATGAGACTCTTATCTCCAATTAACCCCCCCACATACATACACACAAACACACACAAGTATAATCCAACTACCTGTTGCCTACAAGAAACCTCCTTAATTCAACAAATTTATTTATTTTTACAGTCCTGAGGGTCAAACCCAGGGTCTTGTCCATGCTAGGAAAGCTTTCTAACTCTGAGCTACATACTAGCCCAATAAAGTTTTATTTATTTATTTGTTTGTTTATTTATTTATTGTCAGTCATGGGGCTTGAACTCTGGGCTTGGGTGCTGTCCCGGTGCTCTTAAGCTCAAGGTGAGCACACTACCTCTTGAGCTACAGTGTCACTTTTGGTTTTCTAGTGGTATATTGGAGATAAGAGTCTCATGGAGGGGCTGGGAAGGTGGCACCGTGGTAGAGTGCTTGTCTTGCATGCATGAGGCCCTGGGTTTGAGTCCTCAGCACCACATAAGCAGAAAAAACTGGAAGTGGCACTATGGCTCAAGTGGTAGAGCGCTATCCTTGAGCTGAAGAGCTGAGGGACAGTGCCCAAGCCCAGAGTTCAAGCCCCAGGACTGACAAAAAAAAAAAAGAGTCTCATGGACTTTCCTGCCCAGGCTGGCTTTGAACTGTGATCCTCAGATCTCAGCATCCTGAATAGCTAGGATTACAAGCATGAGCCACCAGCACCCTTCAATAAAGTTCTTTTAAAAATATAAACACATAAACAGTTTTAAAAAAAAAGAATTTTAAAAACATATACCAAACTAGCACCAATTAGAAGAAAGCTAGAGTGGCTGTTTTGTTTTGTTTTGTTTTCCATCCTGAGGCTTGAACTCGGGGTCTGGATGAAGTTCCTGAGCTTCTTTGGGCTCAAGGATAGTGCTCTGTCACTTGAGCCACAGCACCACTTCCAGCTTGTTCTGAGTAGTTTATTGGAAATAAGGGTCTCACAAACTTCCCTGCCACAGCTAACTTTGAACCTTGATCCTCAGATCTTAGCCTCCTGAGTAGCTAGGATTACAGATGTGAGCCACTGGTGCCTGGCTTGGTTGCATTAACATAGAACAGACTTCAGAGAAATCTTCAGATAAAGAGAATCATTTTATATAGATGAAATGAAAAATTCATTAACAGAAGTGAAAAATTCATCAAGAAGACTACGAAATACTAACACATACTTAAAAACAGAGCTCTGAAATACTTGACGCAAATTCTGAGAAAACTGCAAAATAAAATAGAAAAGTTTATTATTACAGCCAGAGATTTCAAGGCCTATGTCCCAATAGTAGATACAAGGATGAATAAAACCAGTAAGGCTATGCAAGACTTGAATGACACTATCAGCAAGCAAGCAAGCCTGGCCTAGATGATATTTATAGAACACTGTCCCCAACAACAGCAGAATATATTCTTTAAAGTAATATAGGGAAAATTTACAGCATTTTTTAAAGTTTCAATAAGTTCAAAAGTATTCATGTCAATTGAAAAATAAAACAGTTCTCTGACCCAAGAGGGAAATAATTAGAAATAAGTAACAGAAAAATATTGGAAAATCCAAGATATAGAAGCTAAAGAATTAGGCAACCAAGAACACTAAATAAACTGAATAACTGATTGGGCACCGGTAGCTCACACCTGTAATCCTAGCTACTCAGGAGGCTGAGATCTGAGAATCATTGTTCAAAGCCAGCCCGGGTAGGAAACTCTTATTTCCAATAAACCCCCAGAAAACTGGAAGTGGCACTGTGGCTCAAGTGGTAGAGTGCTAGCCTTGAGCTGAAGAGCTGAGGGACAGCGCTCAGGCCCCATGACTGACAAAAACAAAAACAAAAACAAAAAACCCTGAGTAACCCATGTTTCAGTGAAAGAAGTTAAATTACAAGTTATTTTTACACGAATGAAAACGAAAATGAAACATATCAAAATTGTGAGATGCAACTAACTCAGCATCAAATGTTTAAATTATCAAAGACAGTTCTCAAATCAATGGTCCCAGCTTTAAACTTAAGATTCTACAAAAAAAAAAGTACAATTAAACCCAAAAAGGAAGCAAAAACAAAGTAAAGGTCAGAATAGAAATTAATAAAATAGAAAATAGAAAAAAATGAGAATGTCAGGTCAGGTGCTGGCGGCACATGACTGTAATCCTAGCTATTCAAGAGGCTGAGATTTGAGGATCACGGTTCAAAGCCAGCCCAGGCAGGAAAGTCTGTGAGACTCTTATTTCCAATTAACCACCAGAAAACCAGAAGTGGACTGTGGCTCAAGTGGTAGAGCGCCAGCCTTGAGCTGCAGAGAGATGGTGTCCATGCCCAGAGTTGAAGCCCCACAACTGAGAGAGAGAAATTGGTGAGAGAGGGGGGAAGGGAGGGAGAGAGAGAAAGAAAGAGAGAGAGAGGGTGGGAGGGAGAGAGAGAATGCTAATGGGGGAAAAATAGTATCATAGTTTTTATGGAAAAAAATTGGCAAAACAACAATAGGCAAATTGAGTGTGGTTAGGATGAATAGTAGGAATAATTCTGGCACACTCTGAACTAGAGGGATGATCTCTATTTGTCCAGTCCTCATATGATTTAGACCAGGGAGAATATTGGTTTGGTGTGTGAGAATTTTTTTTTTCAGGTAAGGGGTAGGTTTATTCAGTAGACGTGCTGGGACCAGGCCAGGTTGGCACTCCACGCAGCTGGGAAAGGCCTGGGAAAGAGCTGGGAAAGAGAGCTGGGAAATAGAGCTTGGAAAGAGAGCGAGCTGGGAAAGAGGTGGTGTGTGAGAATTTGAAAGAGAATAAAGTTGTGGATATTGTGTCTGGATTATCAGGGCAATGTACTGATATACATTGATGCTTTCATTGAAGGCATGCCCTTGGATAAGTTGTTTGCTATATCTGGGAATTACTTAGACTCTCTAGAATCAAGGCCTGAAATGTCAGCGCATCAAGAATACAGAAAATAGTAAAATAATAGTCACTGTACTGCTTAGTCTCTTTTCTGGTGTTTCTGAGTAATTTATAAGCAACATGTTTATGTGACTATCAAGTCTGGAGGCAGTAAAGGGTTGCCTGTAACCAGGGCCTTTCTACTGCATCAAAACAGGGAAGAAGGCATCATATGGTAGAGGGAAAGGAGAAAGGAGAAGAGAGAGGGAGAAAGAGGAACAGAAAGGAGAAGGAAAAAGGGAGGGGTAAGAAGAGAGAAGGAAAGAAGAGAGCTGACCTCATCCTTTTGTTTGTTTGTTTTTGGTCGGTCATGGGGCTTGAACTCTGGGCATGGGTGCTGTCCCTGAGCTCTTCAGCTCAAGGTAAATGCTCTGCCACTTGAGCCACAGTGCCACTTCTGGTTTTCTGGTGGTTTGTTGGAGATAAGAATCCACAAACTTTCCAGCCTGGGCTGGATTTGAACTGCGATTCTTAGATCTCAGCCTCCTGAGTAGTTAGGATTACAGGCATGAGCCACCTGCACCCAGCTAACCTCATCCTTTGATCAGAAACTCACTCCAGTGGTAACTGACCCACTCCGAGGATAACAGCATTAATTCCTTCATGAGAGATTAATGATTTAAAAATCTCTGCCTTGAACATTGTTACATTGTGGATTAAGTTCTCAACACATGAATTTTAGGAACACATTCAAACCAGAGCACATCATTTGTTGTATATTTTCCTCTAAAGTAGAGCTGTTTTAAAAATACATTAAAGAACCAAGTTGAGAAAGTTCTATGGTGCTTCCACTTAAAATCGTTTCAAGTCAAAATTATATTAAACAGAACAATCATAAGTATACCAGAATTAGAACCAGTTTGATGTATATGTTTGAAGGAAATCTACTTCAATGCGTAAAGCCACATGAATTGAAAATAATGGTTTAGGAAAATGTAATCTAGGAGGAAGTCCTTCTACTAGCTAGTTTCATGGGTTGAATGTATTTTAATTGATATAGTGATTACATCAATGTTTATTTCTGAGGTTTTTTAAGGAATAACCTGATTTTAAGAAATTTAAATGTTTCCCAGAAACCTAGTCCCAGAAACTAAGAAATCAAATTTCAGACCAATGTTCATCTAAGATTTAGATAATTTAGAATCTAAATAGAATTAGTCAGTAAAAATGTTACATTTTAATGTACATTTTACTTTCTGGTTTCTGACAGATTGATTTTCTAAATATATTAGAAATCTTTTCTTTGCTATTGCAGATACTAATACAAATATAAAATTCATGTCCCCTTTAACAATAAGAACCTTGAATGAAATTGAGTAAACATGTCAGCTGTATACACTTGTTGTTAGCCAAGATGCTAGCTAGCATCAACTTCTTTAATGCTATTTAATTCAAATGTTGAATATGATCAAATCATTTTCTTTTTCTTTTTTTTTTTTCAGTCCTGGGGCTTGAACTCAGGGTCTGGGCACTTCTTGAGCTTCTTTTCGCTCAAGGCTATCACTCTACCACTTGAGCCACAGCACCACTTCTCTTGTCTTTTTCAGTTTACATGGTACTAATGAATTGTACCCAGGGCTTCATGCATGCTAGGCAAGAATTCTACCACTAAGCCACATTCCCAGCCGTATTTATTTATTTATTTATGCTTGTCTTGGGGCTTGAACTTAGGCCTGGACACTGTCCCTCAGTTTGTTTTTTTTTTCTCCACTCAAGTCTCTACTACTTGAGCTACAGCTCTACTTTGCTGGGTTTTTTTTTTGGGGGGGGGGGTGTTTTTTGTTTTTGCCAGTCATGGGGCTTGAACTCTGGACCTGGGCACTGTTTCTCACTCTTCAGCTCAAGGCTAGTGTTCTACTACTTGAGCCCACAGCACCACTTCCAGCTTTTTCTGTTTATGTAATACTGAGGAATCAAACCCACGTCCTCATGCATGCATGGCAAGCACTCTACCACTGAGCCACCTTCCCAGCCTCTACTTGCTGCTTTTTGCCGGTTAATTGGAGAGAGGAATTTTACAGTCTTTCCTGCCTTGACTGGCTTCTAATTTTGATCTTCAGATCTCAGCCTCCTGAGTAGCTAAGAATACAGGAATGAGTCAATACCCAATTCCAATCAGTTTTTTTAAGCTATATGTGTGTATAATTTAGAGAAAATATTTTCTAAAATTATATTTCTTTTTTCTAAAGCTATTGTGTGAGGTGGTTTTTTTTAGAAGATATGGGTTTTTTAAAATTAATAAATTCTATTCAAATCAGCAAGCCTGATATTAGGATTGTTTGGCCAGTATAAACAACAACCTCATTTTAAACTTCAGCTCCAACATTTCTACATGTTGAACTATTTGGTTGGCTTAATACTGTTGAAAACTTACTTCCTGTGAGGTTTATTTACAAGGATGAAAAAAGCCATGTTCCTCCTCTTGGAGCCTGTGGTCCAGTGTCCAGTGGAGGATTTAATACTATGTGTTCAATACAGTTGTGAATCTAAGAATTAATACCATCAAATTATTTTGAATTCCTAAGATAGAAGTCTTTTCTTTATACTTTATTCAGTCACTTTCTTGAGATTTTTGGAATGAAAATTTTTTTTTGGCTGGGCTCTGGTAGCTCATTATTCTAGTCTATAATTCTAGTTACTCAGGAGGCTGAGTTCTAAGAATTGAAGTTCAAAGCCAGCCCAGACAGACAAATCCATGAGGGTCTTATTTCCAAAAACAAACAAACAAACAGTACAGCCATGTACTGGATTTGTCTGTCTGGGCTGGCTTTGAACTTCAATTCTTAGAACTCAGCCTCTTATCTCCAATTAACCACCAGAAAACCAGAAGTGACACTGTGGCTCAAGTGGTAGAGTGCTTGCCTTGAGCTAAAGAGCTAAGGGACAGTGCCCAGGCCTAGAGTTCAAGCCCCACGACCACCACCACCACCACCAACAACAACAAAGCAGTAAAATAATGGAAATGAAATCATGGCTCAAACAATAGTGTATCACAGCAAGAGCTCGAGGCCTTGAGTTCAGGTCCTTGTACTGGCAAATTAAATAAACAGTTTTGGGGAACTACAAATGGATACAAGGTACTTGGTAAACAGTCAGGGAATGTCACAATGAATATTGTTTCATTACATTGGAACATTTAAAAAATGTGTACTTATTCTTTGTGTGTATTATGTGTGCATGCACATGTGTGTGTCTACTTAGGTGTGTGCTAAGTTCATACATTTGTCCTATCCTAACTGCATTTCTGGTGCCTATGTAGAGCTTTCATAAACATTTATTCTTATGTCCCTTCTTCAGGATCAGCTTCCAACTTCAGTTTTTTCCAATGGATGAAGTCTCTTCTGATCCCTTCCTGCAGGTTTGTGCCAACCTGGTGCAGGTTCCCATATGGATGAGTGTCCTAGAGTCCTGGGAAGTGTGGAGGAGTGCCATTCCCAGATAGCCTTGGGCCTCAACTGTGGTGTGGGAACTTACAAGGGAAAACTTCCCGGAAGCTCACTTTTTGCTCTTTACTGCCTTCCACCACACCCCTGCCCAGCTTTAGTTCATCAAAGCTTCTTCTGGCTCATTTCTGCTTCCCTTCTTGTCCTTAGTCATCATGAGTGAGGCTTTGTGTAGAATCTGATTGCTCCAGTCCCAGGTCAAGAGCGTCACCAGCCTAAGACACATTAATGTCAATACCTAATCATATGCAAGGTTAAGGCCCATGAAATGTAAGACCAGAACCAATTTTTCTGTCTCAAGTTAGAGGAAGTTGACATCACTGTATTGGCATCAGTGCAGAGGCTAAGTACAGAAATAAAATAGAAACCCTGGAGGATTGCTGTGGAATGTCCATGTTCAAATACACAGAGAGCCTCACAGAGAAGGCAGTGCTTCATGTGGCCCTAGTCTTTCCTCCTTCTTCTCTCTTTTCTTTTCTTCCTTCCTTCCTTTCTTTTTCTTTCTTTTCTTCTCTCTCTCCCTTCCTCCCTTCCTCCCTCCCTCTCTTCCTTCCTTCCTTCCTTCCTTCCTTCTTCCCTCCCTCCCTCCCTCCCTCTTTCCCTCCCACCATCTCTTTCTTTCATTCATTCTTTCTCTGCAATACTGGAGTTTGAATTCTGGACCTCATATTTGCTAGACAGATATTTTACCCTTGAGCCACACCTCTGGCCATGTTTTGGCACTGTTGGTTTGGTGTTTTTGAGATAAGGTCTTACTTCCTGTCTGGAAATGCACCTAAGCTGAGATCCACCAACTTTAGGCTTTCTATCATAGCTAAGATAACAGGTGTTCATCACCAATCTCTGTGATGATGTCTTGTGAATTTTTCTGCCCAGGCTGGTCTCAAACCATGATCCTCCCAATCTCAGCCTCCCAAGTAGCCAGGTATGAACCACTGGTACACTTCCTTAACTCTGAAGGCTTTGGGATTCTGGAGAATTACTCATACTATTGTCCTTTCAACATCAATGAAGTGCCAAAGCTTCAGGCTGGGCAGATCCAGGCAGAGTCCAACCAAGGGTTTATTTGGTTTTATTCTGTTGGTTTGCTTTTTAAAACTCTAGCTGTCTTGTTTGCACTTGTCAAAACTTTCATCTATTATATCCAGACATTGCTATGACACCCTTTTCCAATGATCCCAGGTGTCAGTTTAAAATCCTTCTCCCTCTCATACTGTATGGTTGCTTTTTTTCCCCTCCAGTCTTGGGGCTTGAAGTTAGGACCTGGGCACTGTCATGGAGCTGCTTTTGCTCAAGACTAGCACTCTACTATTTGAGCCACAGCACCACTTCCGGCTTTTTCTGTTCATGTCGTACTAAAGAATCGAACCCAGGGCTGCATGCATGCTAGAGAAGCACTCTATCAGTAAGCCACATCCCCAGCCTTCTTCCCCCCCCCCTCATATTTTAAATTGTGATAAAATACACATAACATAAAAATGTGTGTCATAAAAATGTGTCTTTAGGTATCTGTTTAGTGGTATTAAGTGCAATCACATTATACCACTCACCTCCAGAACCTTTGCATTTTCTCAAGCTGAAACTCTATCCTCATTAAATAACAATTCTCCATTCTGTACAGCACTGCTAATCTGTTCAAGTTGGTATAAGAAACCAAAGTCTGGAACCTGGAATGATGAAGAAGAATTAGCAGAGCTGCAGAAATTTATAGGGAAGGAGTTGGAGAGCTGAGGGCCAGGAATGCGCTGTGGCGTGGGAGGAGAACTCCTTTCCTGTTGTCTGCTTTGGCTAGGTAGGGGTGGCCTCTCTGCCTCTCATTCTGGCTGAGGACTGAGGCTGGTGGTACAGGTGATGGCACACCCACACCAGTTTCTTGTCCCCACAATCTACTCCTGAGGGAAAGTACGGTTTCAGTGGAAATATATTCCATAGAAGATGACTGCAATTTTTGAGCTGAAAATAGAATATGGTGATATTTGGAGGTATCTGGTTTGCAAGAACATCTTTAGTCATTTCTGGCTACGCAATCTAAAAATAGACCTTGGTTGGCCACTGTTCTTTCCTTGGTAACTGAGTTCCTGGGATTTCACCTCCAGATTCATTGTAGTGCTATGTAGAAGGAAGACTAGAGTAGGATGAGAACATTCTTAGGCAAGACAAGTCCTTCAGTTGCAACGAAATTAGTCCACACTGCTCACAGTACAATATCAGGCTCTGAGCTAATGGAGTAGGTGGTAGAGCCTTGGCTAAGTCGGCATCGAACTTGCTTCTTACTTTATGATGCTTTATCAGGAGGAGAAAGAACCAGCTTATGGTGACTCGTTTTAGAAACCCTAGCTTTCTTTTCTGTCTTGTAGTGTTGAGATTTTACCCCCACAGTAGCTCCAAATGTCCTTCAAAACCAAGGGGAAAAAGGTAGTAATGCGTTTGAGCAGAACATTTGTCCTATATATGTTCTGTTACATGTGCAGCTGCCAGTTACTAAGTGACCTTAACCCTTCTCAAGACTTTCTTTCCTGAAGCCCTAGAAATTCCCAGATGAAAATTCTTAAGCCATGGTAGAAAATGAAATACTGTATATCATTTCCCTGAAATCAGAGGGTATATGATCTCACCTATTAAAAAAATTAAACCCAAATTGGTAGGATATACCTACAATCCTAGTACTTAAGCTGAAGCAGGGAATTCTAGGCTATCCTGGCAGACACAGGAAGACCTGTCTCAACCCTACTCCTTGAATCAGTGTTAATGCTTCCTCCCCAAAAAAGCATTGGTAAAAAAACATATATGTTAACCAGGCATGGTTGGCTCATGCTTGTAATCCTAATTACCCCAAGAGGCTGAGATCTGAGGATCATGGTCCGAAGCTAGCCTGGGCAGGAAAGTCCTTGAGACTCTTATGTACATAAATAACCACCAAAAAGCTGGAAGTGGAGCTGTGGCTCTAGTGGTAGAGTGCTAGTCTTGAGTAAAAAAGCTCAAGGATAGCACCCAGACTCTGAGTTCAAGCCCCAGGACTGGCACAAACAAAAACTAGCACAAAAACAAAACAAAACAACAACAACAAAAATATGCTGATTAATTGGTATGGGAGTTTGGTCATTTCACTTTTTGAAAGCTCAACCCATATAGCAGTTAATTCCATTTTTAGGACTCTCAATCTAAGTAATTTAGGTATAGTCTCAACAAATGGCCATACTACCTGAGACATGTGATCCAAACTTCAATATAGACAGACATTTTTCAGTAAATCAGTTGAAGTTCCTGTTTTAGAAACTTTTTATTAACACAGTTGTACCATTAGATTTCTACTTTTTTACAACTTTCAAATATACTCCTGATTCAAACAACTAAACCTTAGTATGAGCACAATAGCTGATTTTGATGGTGGTGGAGTTACTGGGGTTTGAACTCAGGGCCTCATACTTGCTCAGCAGGTACTCTACCTCTTGAGCTGCTGTGTCAGCCCTTTCTGTGTTGGATATCTTCTAGATGGGGTCTTGCTTTATACCCAGGTAGCCTGGATTGTGATCCTCTTATAAGTGCTTGCCTTTGTGTCTGGAATGACAGGTGCTCGCCACTGTACCCAGCCATTGATCGAGACGGAACCTTGCAAATTTTATACTCAGGCTGGCTTTCAACTACCCTCTCCAATCTCTGCCCTCTAAGTAGCTAGGATTGCAGGCTTGAGTCACTGATAACTGATTCTCTTAAAGATTTTAAGAGGCAACCCATGCCTCAGAGAAAGACTTAAGGACAAGACATAAGCTGTAGGCCTGGAAGGGATCTGAGAAAGTGAGGCACTGGAGATGAAGAGTTTTCTGGAAGCCACTTATTGCATTAATGAGGGACAGGTCTGGGACCAGATCTATCTTCTTTCTGTAGCTTCCTTGGGTGTTGGCCTGAGCTTTCCTTATTCCAATGTGACTCATGTATCCCTAATATTTGTCTTTACCAGTGTATTCCAGTCATGTGCAGAGACTGCAGGGACAATGGAATCTATACTGGGACTCACTCTTTGTCTTAAGGCTACTTTAGCATCCAAAATGTTTGCACTTTTCCACTTAGCTACTTGCTAAGTAAATCTTAGCTCTCTAGAAATCATTCCTCATTCAACTTGCTTTCCAATGAATTGTGTGTGCGTGTGTGCATGCGTGTGCATGCACGCACCCATGTGTACCAGTACTGGGAATTAAATTTTGCAATTCATTCTGTTTATTTCATTTGACCAAAAAGGCAAAGCCACACCATAAAGCCCCCAAATAATGCCATTTGAAAGGGAAAAACTCCCTTTTGTGGGTATCTCCTATCATGAGGTACAGTTTTATAGTTTTCTACTTCTCTCTCCTTGCCTTGATACTCCGTTTCTCCCACTCTGAGATCACAGACTTTGGCACATGTAGGTCTCAGTAACTGATTCCCGATTTTAACAAGCACCTGTGGCACGGGTGCGATGATGTGTGTCCAGAGCTGACCGGCATCCACTGTTGAGCCCTTCTTACTTGTCCTGTCTCACTGAAGGAGTGTGCGGCCCCCCCAGGAGCAGATCATCTTGGCACCGTCCCTGGCCAGGGTTGACATGGAGATGACTCAGCTCACCCAGGAGAACACAGACTTCGCAGCCCGGGACCGCTACCACCACTCCTCCTTCGTGAGTCAGGAACAGCTGATGTCTCCTTTCTGATGCTGCCCTGGGCACAGTGGAGGAAGCAATTCACAGAAGCTGTGGTGGCAGCTTTGACTCCATAGGAACCTCCACAGCATGCCCTCCCACGGGCCCGTTAGGCAGCAGAAATTGTCTCTGGTTTTCAGTGCCATGTCCAACCCTAGGCAGGCGGCATTCCAACTTCTTCCACGTGGCACTCCACCTGGGACATCAGGATGATCACACATAGAGAACCAGAGCCAGATTGCTTGGGCAGAGCGCCACAATAAATGCTTTGTTTTCAGTTTATTGTATTATTAATTGTGTAATTCACTCACACAGTTCCAAGCCCCAAAGTATTACCACATATAGAGTGAATAGCCCTCTCCCATCCCTGCTCAGCGTTCATCTCTGCTTTCGTTATTCACAGGTGACTCATTCATGGGTCTAGTCTTTCTTTTTCTTTTTTGTTTTTTTTTTTGTGCCAATCCTGGGGCTTAACCTCAGGGCCTGGGTGCTGTCCTTGAGCTTTTGTGCTCAAGGCTAGCACTCTATCACTTGAGCCATAGCTCCACTTCCAGCTTCTTGGTGGTTAATTGAAGGTAAGAGTCTCACTGACTTAACTGCCTGGGCTAGCTTTAAACTGTATCCTCAGATCTCAGCCTCCTGAGTAGCTAGGATTACAGGCATGAGCCACAAGTACCCAGTTGGCATTTCTTTATGAATATATATATAACATGGAATCTCACTGTTCCTTTCATATATACAGTGGTCACCTATTATATGTATGTTCTACACTTTTCTTTCTTAAATATCTTGGAGTCATTTCCATTACAGTATGTCCAGTTTCCTCCTTGTATGGATATACCATGATCTGTTTCACCATTTCTATCATGATGGGCATCACAAAGATCACAAAGATCTTTGCTATTATAGTCAGTTCTGCAATATACATGTGTGCAGTTGTAAATTGTATCTTTAGGAGTAATTTCCCAAAGTGGAATCACAGGATCAAAGAATGCAGCTATTGATTGTTTTTAAAGCTATTATTGTTTCAGGAAGTTGTTGTTGTTGTTTAAATCACTAAAACCCTGTTACTGTGAGTTGCCTAATGGTGAACTCAGGTTCTCTAACTCTGACTCCTTGAACACCTCTGCAGCTATTTGTGACATGAATGGCATGAGGGGACAGGGCTCTTGGTTCTTCTGTGAGCATGGCCTGACATTCATTACAAGCATCCAGTACTGGGGACTGGACAATGGCTTCCCTCATAAATTCAGCTTCTAGTCTAAGTTGGGTTTTACCACTGGGCCAGGGAACATGGGCTGATTGGTTACTTCTGCATCTTCCTTCTATTGCAGCACTTCTCTTAAGGTGATATGCTCACATCATCTGGGACACATATATAAATTGCCTCACCCCTGGGTCTCTTAAAGTTTGGGATGAACAGGTGCCACAGGTAATTCAATGCTGGGCATCATTGGACCACATTTGTAAAACACTGATTTGCTAGATGGTAGGGTTTAGAATGACAGAGCTGGGAAAGTCAGCTAGATCATAACCTTCAGAAAAACAAGGACACACTTATGATTATTCAGAACCTAGCTCCTATTAATTAACAGATTTCTGGGTATCAGACACAATTTAAAGAACTCAAACTTTGAGCTGGCAATAGGCATGTGGGAAATAGAAACACCACAAGAATATAATCTAAATTGGATGTGGTGGTACATACCTCCGGAGGCTGAGGCAGAAGGATCATGAGTTCAATGCCATCTTGGCCAGTTTGAACAACAGGGATAGCCTGTCTCAAAATAATAAACAAGGCAGACTGTATTCATGAAATGCCGAGGACATTGTTTTCATATTTTCGGCAGTACAGGGTTTGAACACAGGGCCTTCTGCTCGTGAGACAAGCATTCTACTACCAGAACCACACCCTCAAGCCTTGTTTTGTTTTGAAACAAATTATGTAGCACAGCCTGTTGTGGAGCTCAAGCCCTATATGCAGTAAAGTGAGTAGCTCACAGATGCTTAAGGATGCTGAATCTTTAAAGAAGTTCAGAAGTCTTCATTTCATCCCAACCAGATTGTAAAAATATACTGTTAATCAGGCCTTAGCCCGAGTCCCCCAGAAAGCAGATGCTTATAGGCTACCATTTTGGTGATGACTGGCTGTGAGAAGACAGGAATCAAGGCCGGGGGAATAAGCAGTCAAGGCCCCACCAACAGTTGGGACAGACAGGATACAAGGTGACAAATTAATAGATTTTATATGCAATCCATATATTGACAAAGGTCAGTGGTAAATGCAAACCATCAGGAAGACAAAACATGTCACCGGATCACTCAGATGGGGCTTATATATCTAAAGGCTGTCTCCCAAACATCAGCCCGGTCAATGAATGTGACAGTGAGACTAGAAACAGTTCCTAAGTTAGACACAGATTTCTGGCCTAAAAGTTTACCAGAGAGAAAATGACCAGCATGTTTGTCACCTGGTTCACAAAACAAAGATACTCAATGTCTTTCCACTTGGGGGCCCTGAATTGAAATAAACGTGGCCCACTTTCTGGCCAATCAAATAAGCCTTCTCACTTAAAAAAAAATCCTCATGATTCAGGCTCAAATACAACCTAGTTTAGACGTGCGCATATGGATGTTTCTGCTTTCCTTGGTATGCTAGAGCAGGTAGAGGGCAGGCCAGTGTGGAGATTACCTCTGCTGAGGTGAGAGGTGGGGAGGGGGTAAGGAGCCAGCCCAGATCCCCAGATGGTCTGGGGCTGGTCATTTGAGGTTCTTGAAGCCCTACTTGGTGCCAAGCACCAGCCATCCCACTGTCTTATGGAGTAGGCTGTGGGAGAGATAAGATGGAAAGAAATTGAACACACTGTCCGATGTATTATATTCAGATTGCTGCTATGACAAATTACTATAAATTCAGTGGCTTAAACACAAAATGTATTCTCTTGCAGTTGCAGAGTTCAGAGGCCCAAAATGGGGCCCAAAATCAAGGCATCCGCAGGGCTGGATTACTTCTGGGAGCTCCAGTGGGGGTTGGCTTGTATGTTTTATCCAACTTCTAGAAGCTGCCAGTGTTCCTGGGTCATGGCGTCATTTATGAGTGAGCACATTCACACCAGCCTCTGCTTCTCCTTCACCGCTCCCTGACTCTCCAGCCCCTACCCCCCTAGCTTTTAGGAGCTCTTAGGATTCGGTTGGACCATGTCAGTCACACTCTCTAGGTGCTGGGGATGAGGAGCCAGGCACCTTTGGGGGCATTGCGTTCCTGCATCCTTGATTTAGAGGCACAGTTTCAAGAGAAAGAATGGTGCTGCATACCAGAAGTGGCTGGAGCATAAATCAAAAGCATTCAGCAGGCAGCCAAGCCACAGGCTACTAAAGGAACTCAGGGCTGGATGTGTGCCTCAAGTGGTAGAATACCTTCCTACTAGGTGCAAGGACCTGAGTTCAAACCTCAATTACCACCACCACCACCACCCCCACACACACAAAGGAACTCAACAGTTCTTGAGAACATGCCTGCAATCTGTAATCCTAGCTACTGAGGGGGCTGCAATCTGAGATTACTATTTGAAGCTAGCCAAGAGCAGCAAAGTCTGTGAGACTCTTGTCTCCATTAAAATAACAAAAAGCCAGAAATAGAGCTGTGGCTCAGGTGGTAGAGCACTAGCCTTGAGAAAAAATGCTCAGGGACAGCACTGAGGCCCTAAGTTCAATCAATAGTACTTGTGCGCGCGCGCGCACACACACACACACACACAGACACACACAGAGGTAGTTCTGAAGAGAAAGCTGATTTGGAACCATTGGTTAGGTGATATAGAAGGCCTTCTGAACCAAGGGAATGAGATAAATGTTTGAGGCAGAAAAATCTGAGTCAGAGAAAACAGGCTTATGTTCAGTCCACAAACTCTTCTTCTTACCTCTTCCTTTTACAAAGGCTTACTGGGAGGGAGGTTTATGTGGCATATTGATGACATTTGGGGAATAAAATCTGTCTGAAGCTAGGCATCAGTGGCCTATGCCTGTAATCCTAGATACTCAGGAGGCTGAGATCTGAGGATCGCGGCTGAAAGCCAGTCTAGGCAGGAAAGCCCATGAAACTGTTCAGAAAACCCGAAGTGGTACTGTGGCTCAAGTGGTATAGTACTAGCTGAGGGACAGTGCTCAGGCCCAGAGTTCAAGCCCCATCACTGACAAAAACAAAAAACAAAATCTGCCTGAACCTTGACTCTATCAATTTCTACCTCTGAGATCCTGGATAGGCTTCTGAACCTCTCTGAGTCTGGAAGTCTTTCTCTGTGAAAGGGGAATTATAATTTCTACCTACCAGCATGAGGAGCTAGGAGTACTAGGATGACATCCATATTTTTGGAAGAGATAAAAGTGGGTGGTGGTGTAAGAGTCATGTCACTTACTCTGAATAGTGGGAAGAAAAGAGAAGAGCAAAGCAAAGGTAAAGGAAAAAAAAAAAAGACAAGAAAAAAATCCCCGATAATTGCAGGGCTTCTTGACACTGCTGACCTAAAAATCTCAGAGCACAGAAGCATCCTACTGCTTCAGGAGGCCAGGCTGCGTCCTGTGAGCCACAGACCTCGCGGGACACCTTCACTAACCACCACCAGGACATCTGCAGCCATCCAGATCAGAGCCAAGAGCACCACAGCGCTCTCTCCCTGATACACATGTCACCTGTCCCCTTCCCCAGCGCCCTGCCCAGGCCTGCAGCCTATCCCATTCACCTGGCCACTGCTCCAAACAGGGAATTTTCCCCAAACACACACACATATACAAATGACCCCGCCATCTTGCTCTTTTTAACCAAGGTTTACTCTAGAGCAAACAACCCACAGGTTGCCTGTCTTACCCCCTGGCCCTCTCTCAGCCATATACCCTGGCTGCTACCTAAGGACCAGAGAGGGGAGGGTTGGCTGTGGTGGTCTCATGTACTGGGGTTTTCTCACTTGTTGCACTCCTCCATAGACAGGAAATGCAGAAATCTGCTCACTGAAGGCTGTTC